GTTGAAAATCTACTGAAACTATGGAGGACAAAAGGAAGCTGCAATGGGCAAGAAACGGCGAGCCTGGGCGCCGTGGGCTAGCGATTCGTTGCCAAACAAGCGCCACTACTGATAGAGCCAGGTTGTGCTGTCTCCCTGGCTCTGTTTTTGCGTGTTGCACCTGCAACACTTGGGGTTTCCCCCACCCCCGTCCCATAATATGCGGTGGCGCTTGTATCTGAATCAACAAAAGGGTGTTGGGCAACATACTGATACAGAGCAGCAAGGCGGCTTCTATTCCCCCCTCCGGTTCGAGATAACGACTGTGGCTGTGAAACGTTGACGGTGAAAAGGCGTGGGGAGAATGAAGCCGTTGCTCATCTACATTCAATCAGCATCGCCTTGCGCTGCATCGGCGGCTTGCCACGGTACCAGCGTACTTGCATAACTCCAGAGGGTAATGATACCCCCCCACATGTCCCAGCTATCCGGATTCTCTATTACAGTTTTGGCGGACGCATCCCACAAGAAGACGGGCGCTGGTGAAGAAAAAGGAAGGGCGCAAGAGAAAAGGGAGGGGGCGTGAGCATGTTGATGAGAGGGGAAAGCGAATCAAGCATGCAGATGTGTGCAGGACACGGGGCAAAGGTACAACAGGCACACGCATGGGATGTGGTCAGTGGCGGCGTGCGGAAGAGGATCCGTGATACCCGCACCAACCGGGTAGGGCCTACCAGTATGTACCTTGACTGGGTACGAAGCGAGAAAGCACAGGAGCTGTCATAAGGAGGATTTTACTTGCCACTTTTCGGAAGCAAAGGGAGGCCATACGCCATTGACGATGGTGGTTATATTCAACAGTGTATCGCTTGCACCCGGGAAAGACGCAGCTCCGATTTCCGGTTGGATGGGTCAAAGACTCAGATGAGGGGGAATGGGCTGCATCAGTGGACGCCACACCGACGTTGTTTCTTGTGCATCTGCTCTGAGCCCAGCCCAGGCCAGCGGAGTGTGATGAGGGCTTACCGGCTGCGGAGCTGAGACAACGGGAACCGAGAAGGACAAGGAAAAGGCAAGGACGGGCTTGACCGGTCACTGGCTGACGGACAAGAGGAACCATTCTAGGAGAATTGCGACACGCCTTCTGGCTGCCACCCTCTTGTGGACATGGGCCCATGCCACTGCTCGGAGACGGAACGCTATTCGTATGCATCGTGGTGCACGAAAAGAAATGCCTCGTCAGACAGCAGCAGGAAGCCATCTGCAGGCAAATTGGCACAGACAAGTGGCCTCTCATGTTAACGCCCGCACTGGAATTCTTTTCTCAAGCTTCTTGACTAAACTAACTATTATGGAAGCAAAACTGGAGAAGCCAGACTTATTATTAGCGCCCTCGCGCCGGGAGGGGCCGCTCCACGGTAATATGGGAATTACTTCGGGAAACAAGAGCAGAAGGAAAAGTTGCGCTGCACGGCACGTCTTTCTCCCTCTTGGTGCGTCAAGATATCACATCGGGCAGGTGCTTGCTCTGCCTTTGGTGTGCATTCTACCATGTTTTCGTAGGGGCGCGGACTGGGGTTTGTTTGCTTTAGCTGGCTAATCATATTTTAGCTTGGTCATGATTCGTGCATCGACAGCGGTTCAAGACTCAGCAAGCACAAGTCTGAAAACCAAAGCGAGGGGGCAAGCGACGGGCGGTGCTGCACGAGAGAGCGAAAGCGGACTCAATGGCCGTTGTTGAGCTGCGCCTTCTGCATCATGTCATGATTCCTCTCTTATTCTCTATATTGGGATGCGGTGTGATTGGCTTCTGCGTCTGCAGAAGGCGCTCATACACACCATGCTCACACGCACATATGCACGCACAGTTCCTACTCGGCGCGGCTGTCGGCTGCCCTGGGCTCAGAAGGTTCAGAACAGCCACGTTGTGTCACCACACCGATACACATGCGGCGTAATGGAGCCCATGATCTCTGCAGTGTGTCTCTATGCATGTACCGCATCTTTTTCCCTTTGACAGACTTCTCATCCTCGTGTGACCTTGGCCTACCTTATGCTTGTGCTACCAGGGGGTGTACACATGGAAGAGCAGCGTGATGCTGTGATGCTGTCCTTTTTGCTCTTGCTGCGGTTCCACATCGCAATTGAAACAGACGAGGCCCGTGACGACCACTTGGCGTCTAATTTATTGGAGTTTATCCTTGGCTTCTCACGCACACGGCCTGCTTTCAGGGAGCACCATCGCCATATCGTCGACTGAATACAGGGATGGCTGTCTCGCCTGCGCTTGTCATGATTGGCTCTCCCACCTTTGCCAGGTAGGCTGGTATCTAGGGTTCGGTTCGGGGCTGGCAAATATTGGCAAATATGCTGGGGTAGGCTTGGGCCCCCTTGTCCCTCGCTATCTCTGGCTTGTACTCTGGAGTGCTGGCATAGTTAGATACGTGAATACTATAAACCAGGCAGGTAAGTCAGCCAGAAACTCATCTGCTGTTGGCTGCTTTTCTGTTAATTGATCGACCAGTCGACTCGACAGGGACAAGGCTGCTGATGCTCAAGATTAGGCGTGCACGGTAACATCTCGCTTTCAAGTTGCGCCTCGCAGCCGCGAGAGCTCCAGGGGGTTTTCTCTATCACGGCCACAAAAACAGAAGCACATTTCGGATCGCTCCTTTCTAGTCTCGCCAGAGTTTGTTTAGCATTACTCGCACAAGGTGCCACTTCCACAAGGCGACGATGCGACGAGTGCGTGCGATAATGGGTGGCGCAACTCGTTGTACAACCATCTCAGGGCCACACACGTTTGCTTTTCTTGCTTGGCTGGTTTGTTTCTACGCCTTGTACCAAAACGCCTCTTTTTAAAGTTTGAATTCGGGCGATCGTGTCCAACGTTACGATGGACAATGTACCTAGAGGCTAGAAGCCTCTTGGAGCAGTCCAATGTTGGCTCTTTGCGGAAGCGCGACACGTGCGACAACTTGTGTAAGTAAGGTGGCTACGGATTACAGGCTATTCTAATATGCCATCAGGCTCTATCTTACTTTACTCCTTGTCTCGGGACAAGGCCAGGACGAGTGGTTTCGCCGAGCCTCCGTCGTATCCTGTGTGATCGCATCTGTCCCGGTCATTGGCCAATGCGCCCCCCCTCGAGGAGAGTGCATTTTAGGGGTCTAACAAGAAGATGCATCCACCAGTCTAGACGTGGGAAAAAGAGGGCACAAGGGGCTAACAGAAATCTAGCCGAGTCAACCAGTTGAGAGGGAAGATTGGCTCTTGCAGTAGTGAAACTTGGCAAGAATTGACATCAACAGCGGCGGTCAGGCGAGAGAACTCTAAACCAAGAAACGGGTTCAGCCTCACATCATGACAGGGACCAGGGACCGAAGCGAGCCGAAGAAGAAAAACAACTAATGAGTAATGAGGGGTCTGAACAAGGCTGCGTCGCGGCGAGAATGTCCAAGTGACGACTCATGCAACGATCGGGCCGAGCAAGACTAGCTGTATTGCGTTGGGGGTTTTTATATCTTCTCTTGCCGAGAAAATGAAGATGGCGGAGAATTACAATGCCAATCAATGTTACATGATCGATCACGCAATGTAGCGTGCAACAGCAGAGGTGGATGTCAAAAGCCCCAGTCGACTGCCGCATCTCAAGTTGCGCGACTCACGCCCAACAGTGTTGCGACGAGTGAGGACGTGGATATTGTCGCGTATACAACGTTTGAACGGGGTCACTTTTTTTTGGTTTCTTCTTTATTCTGCGGACCCGTGAGAGGGACGAGATCGATGATCGTTGTTACATCTGAACCCGCCGATATTATGCCGCCCCAAACTCTAAATCCTTCACGAAAGCATGGGAAAGAAATGACAAGGTAAAAAAAGAAAATGACGAGTCATTGAGATCGATACTTACAACTCCCCCATGCTATCTTGACCCCCCCCTCCTCGGGGACCTGGAAGCAAATTCATTGATGGCTAATTCTGTTTTAGTAAAGGGCAAGCGAAAAAACATTCCTCGACTTCATAGACTACGAATAGAGAGTTTTGCTCGTCCGAGCGCTTGCTTCCTTTCTATCTCTTCTTGTCTCTTGTCTCCGCATAGAATCAATCATGATTTTCAGAGAAACCAAAAACCCAGGCCAGGATCTTTCTGGAAACCCCCCCCCCCCCTTGTTCAGTCATAGCATTACTGCTTATTACTCGTTCTCCGTTGTTCACGACTCGGGTGCAGCAACAGCCCACAATCTGCTCCAAGAAGCCCTATCTATCATTGGTAATCATTTTTACTTGGCTGATTCTAGATTCGCGGGAACTGGTTTCCAAGGATTGGGCATGGTAAGCCCAACGCCGCGCACGCCCAGGCCCTCCATCACGGTCAATGTCTCAGCCGCGCCCCCGAAACGAAGCCGAATTCCCGCCGCCTTTTCATCTCTCTGGATACGGCGGATTCAAAGCACGAACTTGAGTCAACATTGTTTTATGAATGGGGAAAAGAAATTTCACAACTATGCTAATCAGATAGATTACTATTCTATATAACCCCCCCTTGGCACGCTCGGGCGGAATCATGTTCCCCGTGCAATATCGGTTCATACCAGTATTCGTAGATCCCTTGCACTCCAATGTCTCACAACGTGGTGGATATGAAAGGCGCCAAGCAAACACAAGAAAAAGACTCCCTTCTTCCTGTGCGCGCCGGCTTCAGCCGAGACAGCATATCATGTCAGCTGTCTACCTGTTGGAGAGTCTCGCAGAATTGCTCAACATCACACAGTATTGGTGGTAATAGTCAAATACCCCTTTTGCTCACTGGTAGAGTATATGACTTTTTGCATGCTATACAAGAATATACAACAGTGTCCAAAGACGATAGATGGGAAAAAAACAACTTTTTGTGTGAAAAAAAAAAAGTGTAACAACACCTTCCGTTTGAATGCAACGATTAAACTCCCACAGCCGCCAAAATAACAACAATACATGCCCTTGTTCAAAGAGCCTGGACTTGGTTCAAGAAAATGACCTCATTCCACCTCGAGACCCGCCTGCTTCATGAGACTGTAAAAGTGGCCCTGCTTCTTGTACAGCACCGCGGGCGTGTCAAACTCGACCACCTCGCCCTTGTCCAGGACAATGACGCGGTCGCTGTCCACAATGGTATTCAGGCGGTGCGCCACGGTGATGATGGTGCGGTTGGCAAATAGCGGCGTCCGCAGCGTCGCCTGCAGCATCGCGTCCGTCTCCACGTCCACGGCGGCCGTCGCCTCGTCCAGCACCAGAATGTTGGACGGAGTCAGCATCGCGCGTGCCAGAGACACCAGCTGCCGTTGGCCCTGGGAAAGGTTCGATCCTAGCGAGAAAAACACTGGTTAGTAATTGCTGTTGTCCGGGTAAAATTGGCATGTCTCGGCATCGTGCCATTTTTCAAACAAACGGCCAACATGCCATCCCACCCTGACAGGAGGCGTCTTCAGCCATAAGCTGATCCAATTCACCGTCTGTTTCACCGCACACGTAGCACCGGTAACACAAATCTCCATGTCAATCTGAAAAGCAGCAGCTTACCTCCTTCAGTAATTCTGGCCTCGAGGCCACCGTCCATATTCTTGACGTGATCCTTGAGACGAGCGTGATCTACAAACAATATTAGCCTCGTCACGCAACAGCAGGCTTTGAACATAACATACCGAGAACGCTCCATAGCTCCGTATCGTCATGGACGTGTCCGGGGTCCAGGTTATCGCGCACGTTGCCCTCAAACAGAGCGGCATCTTGTGGAATTATGGCAAGTCTGCGACGAAGATCCAGCAGACCGATGGATGACGTATTCAGGTTGTCGATGCCGATGTAGCCCATGGCAGGCTCAATCAGACGGAACAGAGCCAGCGTGAGTGACGACTTGCCCGCTCCTGTGCGACCAACAACACCAATCTTTTCATGCGACTTGATGTGCAGATTGATATTCTTGAGTACCAGATCAAGCCCCTCACGGTAGCGAGTGCTATAGTTATGGAACTCAACCTCGCCCTTAGCAGGCCAGGCCACAGGTGGGCGGTGGTTGGCAATCACCTCGGGAGCCTCGCTGGGCAGCGCGGCATACTCGAGAACACGCTCGACCGAGACGATGTTGGTCTCAACCTCGACAGTCTGTCGAACAATCCAGTTCAGAGAAGTGGTGATTTGCAGGGCTTGAGACAGCGAAAGACCAATGGGGCCGTCTCCGAGGCCAGAGCCGCTGGCAACAGCAATGATGGCAAGTCCAGCAGCGGCCAAGATGACAACGGCGCCCATGACTTCTAAGCGTATAGCAAGCCATCTGTTGGCGCTGATGGACGGGAAGTAAGCCTTAAGATTGGCGTCGAGACGCCATTCATTCTCGAGGCGGAAACGCTCCTGCTGACGGTACGCACGGATTGTGGTGAGGCCGCCAAGAGACTCCTGAAAGTGAGCGTAGATAGGACTGCGACTGACACTGTCAAGGCGCTTCAGCTCACGCGAAGTGCGGAGGTAGTAGCGCTGGATCCAGTAATACGCCAGACCTAGAGGAATAATGAATGCTGCAAACGGAGGTGTCGTGTAAGAAATGACCAAAATGGTGAATCCAGAGCGCGCAACGTTGTTGAAGAGCATGTTAAAGACACGAGCAAGAATCTCATCAACCTTGTAGATATCGCTGGAGAATCTGTTGAGGATACGTCCAGTGGGGGTGGTATCAAAGAAGGACATGGGAGAACGGAAAATTGCGTTGGCCATGCGCTCGTGCAGCTTGCGCGAGGCTTCGATGGAGCAGAAAATCCAAAGTACCAAGGTTTGGACGACAGTAAGAGCAGAAGACGAAATACCAATCGCAAAGTAGATGCCAATGTACGTGCCAACCTTCTCGTTGGTGCCCTTGTCACGGTTCTGATCGGCCCAATGCTGCAGCCAGAAAGCAGCAGCAATGTTGGCCGTTTGAGCAGCGAGGAGGGCAGTAAGATAGACAAAGACGGCAATCGCATTGTTCTCCTTGGCATATTCTCCGTAGACAGACCACTTGACTTTGCCCTGTTCGACGAATTCCTTTTTTTGCAAGGTACGGCGACTGGGGGTCACCTCCTCATCGGTAAGCTTGCCGCGAGGACCACGGAAAGATGCTGTGCTGGCACGGCGCAGAGTAGCTAAGCTGCCAGAGCGACCCTTGTCAGTCACAGCGAGTCCCATCTTGGCAGTCTTGATAGAGGCCAATTCAGGAACATCTTCCTTGGCCTCTTCCAGCTCCTCCTTATCCTGGCTGCTGTCGGCACCAAGGATGGTAGATTCGCTCGAAGGCGGCGTGGAAGATCCAGAAGCATTGTCGGAGTCCTGAGATGAAGTGCGTAGAAGGTCAGCGACGAGACCTTTCTTGGCCACTAGCTCGTCGTAGGAGCCACGCTCAGCTATCTCACCATCGCGGAGGAGAGTAATGTAGCTTGCCTGGCGCAAGACGGGGATGGAGTTGGTAGCAAGGATGCGGGTCTTGGAAGCAAGCAAGCCGCGGGGTCCGAGGACGCTGTCAATGATGTGTCGCCCAACATGAGAGTCAACGGCAGACAGAACGTCGTCAAGTAGGTAAATATCAGCACGAGCGTACACGGCTCGGGCGAGAGAAACGCGAGCCTTTTGTCCTCCACTCAGGGAAATGCCACGTTCACCAACGACTGTCTCGTCACCATCGGGGAGCTGGGCAAAGTCATCGAGAAGAGCACAAGCCTTGACAGTCTTTTCGTAGAACTCGGAGTCGTAGCGGTAACCAAATACAATGTTTTCCTTGACAGTGGCGTTGAGCACCCAAGTTTGCTGGGATGCATAAGCCACATTGCCGCGGACTTCTGCGCGACCTTTGACCTTCCAGAGATCGCCGAGGATGCTCTGGAGGAAGGATGATTTACCGGCACCGACACGGCCAACAACGCAAGAGAGCTCGCCCTTGTAAGCGGTGAAGTTGATATCTTGAAGGGCATTCTTATCCTCGTGGCGGTTCCAGGAAAAGGTGGCGTCGCGGATAATGACAGACTCCTCGCCGAGCTTGGTAGGAGCAGGTCCAACAGTGATGGCATCGGATTGAACTTCCTCGGCGTTGAAAAAGTCGGTGAGACGACCGACAGCGACAGAGGCTTCGACAATGGATGTGATAACCATGGGTAGGACGGCCAAGGGGAAAGACAAAAGATTGAAGAGTGCGAGAGCAGGGAAGACAATGTCCGTCGTCAGCGGCTTGTTTTGGGTGAGGACAAAAAATGTAAAGGTTGAGCAAGATACGAAGAAGGGAGCCGTGTTCCAGGTAAAATTGGCAATAGCCTGAGTAGCACCGATCCTGCGGAGATTCTTGAGCTCCTGTTCATTTCGCACAAAGTTAAGCTTGTTCATAAAGGCCGAGCCCCAAGAGTAAAGTTTGATACTCTTCATATTGGTGATGATTTCGTTGATGAGACGGCTTCTGGCATCCTTGTTCTTCATCTGTTCCTTCTGAAGCCTTTTCATGAGTCTTGCAACATAGCCCTGAATGGGCATCATGATGATCATGACGGCAATACCCGCAAGCATAGACCATCCCACGAGGCTGTAGAGGGAGACCATACAGATGATGATTTGAAACGGAGCAGACCAAGCCTGCTGGGCAAACTGTGTCAGGTCCTGAAGGCGCTGAGCGTCGACAGCCATGTAGTTGACAATGTCACCAGTCGACTTGGTGGAGCGACCTTCGTTGGAGAGTTTGAGCGCCTTGCGATAGATGCTGGAGCCGAGGCCACCCTTGATGCGCATACCAGTTTCGAAGGCAAGCTGGAAGTATTGGTGCACCATGGTGGTCTGGAAAATGGCACATGCAAACATGGCGAGTGCGAGAGCGGCACCCTTGATAACAGGTTGGGGCGAATCAGTCTCATAAGATTGGACCCATCTGAGCAGCAGACGAAGTAATTGAGGCTGAATGTACTGTGACATGTCATTCAAGATCTTGAAAATGGCTGCGACGGCATAAGGGCCTCCGTAAGCACGGAAGAGAACAAGCCAAAGAGAAGGAGACTTGGGTCTACTTTTCATCTCATGATCCCATGCATCACTAAATCTCTGCCCAGTCGTGCTGGTCTTGTCGGCTTTGGCAAGAGCCCAGAGATCGTCCTCGGTGAGGAAAGTCTTGTAGCCAAAACGCATCATAGGGGTCATCCAAGAAAATGTGAGCATGGAGAAGACTGTTGCATATTCGACTGGGCACTCATCCTCGTCGGTAATGGCATGATAGTCGCTGGGGGTCCCGAAACGAGGCCACAGCCACTCAACGAGGAACTCGGCGGCAGAGAGGCCGAACCCAACACAGTAGGAGATGAAGTAGGGTTGATCATGGACGTAGAGCTGCTGGGAGATGAGAGAGCGAAGCTTGACGCTCTGTGCAATCATGAGAAAGAGCCAGTAGAAAAGGACGACGCCATTGGCGTGTCTGATCCTAGTGTGCTCAATGTGTTGGATATAGAAGATGACGACGAAGGAAGCGAGTAGCAGCAATGTGGTGGCGATGCGAAAGTCGAGACGGTTGGATTGCATGACCTGGAAGAGAAGCTGGACGAGAACAGATGCGGTTAAAACTCCAAAGAGTGTCTATAGGATTGTTAATACCAAGTCAATGAGCAGTACCAACGAGAAGCTGTGTGACAGACCTGCTTGAGCCAGTAGCCAGCATCCTTGGGCGTCTTGTTGTCGTTCTTGCCACGAAGATACCAAATTGCTAGAGGGCCAAATAGAAAGCTAAAGACAGCAACGGACCCGATCCAAACATCAATGAAGCAAGGCGTGAAGTCGTAGCGAATCGGGCTGAGAGGGCCCCATCCTTCGGGGTCGGCGCAGAAGGGATGCGATTTGGGTTTGAAGTAGCCGTGCAAATTCTCCATTGGGCGGAGGCCGGTGAAGGAACCGGTATGCAGCAAACGCTGCTGGGTATCGGGGTAATCCATCATGGCATTCGCTGTATAGATTCAAGTCGTCGGGACGCACAGCGCATGCTCGATGGGGCGAGGTGAAGCGGAAGGACGGAGGATGCTGGTGGCGGGTGCTGGTGGCGGGTGCGGGGGTCGGTTTTAGCAGAGCTCGCAGCGCAGTGACAGGCGACGGTCCGACAGCGGCGAAAATCACAGTAGCAGCGAAGGAGCAGCAGCAATCCCGGTCGTTTGTCGATGCGCCTGCAATTAAGAGGCAGCTACGGCAAAGGTTTCTTAGCAAAAGTTGACGAGTATAGATGAACGAGCGACTCGAAAAGGCGAAAGGCAAAAGGCAAAAAGAAAAAAGGCAGACAAGAAATACATGCAATGACGGCTGGCCTTCCATTCCCAGTGGACCACGGCTGGCTCGTCGCCGCGTCCAGATGCAGACCAGCTTTGTCAGCGAGCTTATGATGACGGCACTTGATTGGAGGGATGACTAGAAAAAGGCCCACAAACAGCCTTGGTCCTTGTAACGAGCCCACTAAATGCACTAAACTGTGCTAGAGTGGCGCCTGCCAGACCGCTAAATTCCCTATAAAGTCCGCTGCATCTGTTATGGCGGTCTCTCAGTGGCGGCTGGTGTATCAATAAGATACTGTACAATCTCATTGTATTACCCTTAATTATCTGCTGGTCGGCATTAACGCTGCACCTCTGCCGGCGAGTGGTGGATTAGTCAAGATGGTTCATGAAGACAGGCCTAAACCTTTGCTCGGGGGCAAGGCGTTAAAGCCGGCTGCTCGCTAGCCCGGTGCTGCACGTCATGACTCTGCTTCTGCGCCACTTGACCGGTCTTGCACCCACGATGTGGTACCCTGCACTCGAAGACCCGAGTTTGGTGGTGGCACTACGCGTGGTGCAGGAGGCGAGCATTGATTGCCAAAACGCACGGTTAACTGGGCAGTACCGCGCCTCACTCCGATGTGCAAGTGCTTAAGTTTGCATGATATGTGTGCCGTTGGTCGACTCTTTGACCGCATGGAGGGCAAGTATAGACTGATGCTGAAGAGATTCTCACCAGGCTACAAACACAAAGTTGCAAGGTTCGAAGAAATAACACACCACCAAGATGATGCATCAGCATAATGTTAGCGCTCTACGCGCATACATTTCTTTTGCTTCTGGAATGAAGAAAGAGCATGGGCTTTTGCAGGCGGGGGTGGTGATAAGAAGCGCGACTCATTTGTAAAGTATACATGCTGAAATGTGTGCCAGCAAGCGTTTGAAATGTCCTCGCGGCGTGATTTCCCCGAGAAAATTGGCGCTTCTGACAACCGCCATTTGTGCATTTTCTAGATTCAAGAGCAGCGGCAAAGCAGCGCGTTTGATGCATACATATCTGCAGTGATCTTGGTCATCTGTTCTATTATTGACGAGCTATGGTTGCAGCATCTTTGTGTCCTCACTCCAGCCCCTGCAGAAATTTGACCACAGTCTTGGCGAGCCATTCCTTTCCAGCAGCGTTCGCAACAGCATGTGTGGCGTCGGGAATCGACCCCGACAGCGGACTAACCAGCGGACTCGCAGCACGATACAGTTTGCGCAGAGCATCCTGGCTAACATGGGCCGGGACATACTCGTCATCTTCAGAGTGTAGCACTAGGACAGGTCTGGTGAAGCGACCCCAGAACTTTTCGCGAGTTGCCTGGTCAAGATCCGAGGAAAAGTAGTCATCGTCGCCACTGTAATTCTATGAGCACGAGTCTTACTGCAAGAACGAGAGGTCCTTACCCCTTTGCAAGCAACGAATGCAACCTGTAGGCCGTGATGGGTACGTCGAAACCTGCCGGGACCAGTCTTGCAGGGATATACTCTTTTTCCTGCCCGTCTGCAATCATCTTCTCCGAGACGGCAAGGAGCTCGTCAAAATTGGCAAAGTCGTTTTTCAGAGCCTCGCGGTCCGAAACGGGAGCCTGAACGACGAAACCATCCACTGGACTGCTCCCGTGTTTCTCGTAGTCGGCATATTCCATACAATCCTGGTTATGTAAGGGCCAAGCTTCACTGCTTCATATATCATGATACACTTACCTGACAGCCCGTAGAGTGACCAAACAACACAACCTTTTCGCGGCCAATGGAGCGCAGATATTTGACGAGTGCTGAGATATCCTCGACATCCTCCTTCAAGCTCGACGTGCCGAACCCGGTAAACGAGCTTCGCATCCGGATTTCAAAGATGGAATAGTCCAAGTCCTCGGCTTCCGCAACGAACTTAGCCACGGTCCGAATATACGGCACGGTGTGAGGTCCGTCAAAGAGCCCGCCAATAAAGATGACGGCATTCTTGGCCGCAGTTGCGCCTAGCTCGTAGGCACACGCACCCTTGACGCGAGACTTGTACGGATGAACCGTGACAGCGAAAGGTGGTAAAGTAGCCATGGCTGATATGATAGCCCAACAAGGTTATCAAGGAAAGGTTAATGGCTTGCGTGAAATAATATCGGGCGGTGCCTGGATGAGGAGACAGCTACAGAGGGGCAGCTTTCGCACAGTGCTGGGTGTCATATGTCGCAATTAATACGGCGCAATATAGCTTACAAGGGTCTTTTGGCGTATTACTCACGGATGACGGCCGTTTAATACGTGATTTGACTAGGTTGCTTGCTTCGGTTCATGTCTCCTTCTCAATCTGCCGTTCGCTAAAGTGTGTCCACCTTTGCGCGTTGGCACAGTGCGGGTCGAGAAGCTTCCCTCTTGCGTCCACTGTTTTGCAAGCATCCGTCTCAACGCTTCCATCGATGCGACATGTAAAGATATCTGAAGGTGCTTCAAAAAAATCACCAATGTATTAGAAATTGGTACCAATAGCTGTGAGACACGCACCTTGACGAAACTAGCAGACAGCCATGGAGGCAGTGGCCGATGCGGCGGCCCGCAACGCCTTGTTCCAACGCGTGAGTAACGCCTACCTATCTATGCAAGCTGCTTCCTAACTAATCGCACAGCTTAAACCATGTTGTGTTGAGATCAGTCGGCTCGCAATTCAGGAGGACCATGCCTCAGTAACTCGCGAGCTGCAGACTCTTACTGCCACGCTCTTGGACATCTTGCACTCGTCATCTCCCGACTTAGACGACAAGCTGGCTGGATATGTCTTCTTCCCATTGTCTCATATATTTCGTCAAATAGACAGCTTCCCGATGACTGTTGTGGAAAACTGTGTTGTTTGTCTACGAGTTCTCATCACATACGGCTGGCGGACAAGAATATCACCCGCCCTCGTCCAGCAAATATTCACCCTTCTCATCTTCCTCATCGACGGTGTACCTGGGTCAGATCAAGATCAGATAAAACCCGAGGAGTTAATATTAGAGTCGTTCCGAACATTGACTGCTCTGCTCGATGCAGCCGCGGGATCCGCACAAGCTGACGCCGGTCTGGCAGCGCCCGCGGCAATCCCGCAGCTAGGCCAGGGTGTCACAACGATGCTAGACGCTATTGCAGACGGCGTCACTCCAGCGATCCAGGAAGAGGCTCTTAGGTCCCTTATTGCATTCTATCAAGCGATCAGAGATCATGGCGCGTTGGCCACTTTCCTACCAGGCACATTGTCAAATCTTGCCAAGGTCCTCCATACTCCAGCGCGATACAGATCCTCAGTACTTGCGGGTTGCCTGAATGCTGTGAGAATAGTACTGACAAGAACGCTTGGTGACTTGCGCACACGATTGATTCTTGCACAGAAGGATCATGAAGGGGCCGAGAAGGAAGAAGATAAGAACAAGGTGCTGGGACCGGCGTGGCTGAACGCCACGATCGGACAAGTGAGAAACGCATTGGCAACGATGATGAAACTACGTGCACATGAATCGGACGAGGTCAAGTCTGCACTCAATCGACTGTGCATTACACTGCTAGACGAGTGTCACGAGACTTTGTCCAACTGTTCGGCGCTGCTTGTGAATACGGCCATTATACTGGATGTAAGTGATCACGACTCCATCACTGAAACGAACCTGTCGCACATAGCAGGGATCTATCCCGAACTGCTAGACGTGATCAAGACGACAGTCTATAACTGGATGTCAAGTTTACCACGGCATATGCAGTCGGCAGACGAGGACGTCAAACGGATCGCTATTCACAACTTTGCCAAGGGCATAGAGCTTTTGAGGAGCCTCAATATCGAATCGAGCATAATAGGAAGCGCCCTACCAAACACAATGTGCGATACAATTACCTCACTGCTCCAGGCTAGCAAAACATCGAGCTCTGACAACGCCGCTCCAATTCAGCTCTTGGAGACATCTTCCATGGCCAAGGCTGCCGGCAGGACGACTTATCCTCCCGTGCTGCTTTCACATAATAGCCAACGAGGCTTGAACCTAGAACTCATGTCTCTTCTGCGGGCTGTCAGCTCGACCCCTCAGACTGGCCCTTTGCTAGCTGATATGGTGGACTATGCTAGAAATGATACAGGTGCCAGCCAAGTCGCTGCTTACTGGCTATCGCTGGAGATCAGCAAAGCCGCACATGCCTCTACTGCCGATGAAGATGCCCTTCTCAATTTCACCGACCGTTCCAGTGGTTCAGGCGATGTTGAGTCCGCGTTCAGCGATCTGTATTCATTCTCGGTTGATATTTTGGACTCCCACAGCGATGCATCGACAGTTGATTGGCGCATGGAGGCACTTGCTCTTGAAGTAGTCGCTTACGCGGCACAGAGATCTGGCGAGTCTTTTAGACCCGAACTCATCGACGTTTTGTTCCCCATTGCAACATTTATGGGGTCGAATGATCCTCGGCTACAACAGCATGCCGTGGCCACATTGAATATCCTCGCATCGGCGAGCAAGTACAAATCCGTCTCGGACCTGATAGTAGGCAACGTCGACTACATGGTCAACTCCGTGGCACTGCGCCTGAACACGCTGGATATCTCGCCAGCCTCTGCACAGGTGCTCACGATGATGCTTCGTCTTGCAGGACCATGTCTCCTTCCGTTTTTGGACGACGTTGTCGAATCTATTTTCGTCGCGCTGGACAATTACCATGGCTATCCCGCGTTTGTGGAAAGCCTATTCGACGTGCTTAAGGAGATTGTCGATCAAGGCGCCAAGACCGAAAGCACGCGCCTGCTTAAGGATCACGAGAAGAAAGAAATTCATCACAAGAAACAGCAAGGCCAGCGAGAAGACCTGAACAGTCTAATGGCCTTTCTAGATAAACGCAGCGAGCGCAAGCAGCGCGACGAAGCAGAGGCGCGAAACATGCGACCTCTGAAGGGTCATCCACAGGCACCCTGGGGCGAGCCCGAAAAGAAGAGCGGCGAGGAACACATGGACGATGTGGGTGGAGAGCCACCCAGCGAAGAGAAGCCGCCGAGCTCGTCGACCTACCAGCTGCTGAGCCGCGTGGCCAGCCTGACGCAGCACTACCTGACGTCGCCGACGCCGAAGCTGCGCCGGTCGCTGCTCGGGCTCCTTCAGTCGGCCGTCTCCGTGCTCGCCGCTGATGAGGACTCCTTTCTCCCGCTCGTAAATGCGCTTTGGCCCGTCATTGTCGGCCGGCTCCGGGACTCGGAGCCCTTCATCGTCGTCGAGGCCTGCGCCACGCTCGCGGCGCTCTGCACCGCCGCAGGCGATTTTCTCGGCTCGCGCTTCCAGACGGAGTGGCAGGACGGTCTACGTGACTTTTGCCGCCGAGCGAAGCGCAATGCCGCCGCCGCCGCAACAGGAGCTGGTCAGTCCACGCACACCGAAAGCAGATGGACAAAGGGCTCGGGATCGTCATCACTCGATGTAGTGGTGCCGCTGCGTGTAGAGGCTGGTGCGCTCGCCGTACGCAACGCGACGCTGACGAGCCGGCCGGAGGAGGAGCAGCTGGCGGGGGGCAGTCTCGGACAGCACGCGTCGCCGGCGAGGATCTGGATGGCGGTGGTGAGGCTGCTAACGGCGGTGGTGGCCTACGTGCGCGTCGACGAGACCATGTTTGAAGATGTGCTGGATCTGCTGGCGGACGTGTTGGACAGGAATCCGGACGCCAAGGAGGCGCTGGAGGTGATTAATGCGGATGCGGTGTGGCTTGCGCTGTATGAACGGGGACGGGTGGCTTTGCGAGCGGCTCCGATGGTCGACGGGGCGTCGTTTGTTGAGCTTATCAGTAAGGCGTAAACCAGGGCGACACATTTACTTCACGGGGATACACATTTACTTTACGAGGGTACACATCTGCTTTACAAGGGTACACATGAGATGATGCATGTGATGAATTATATTCTATTCTATTCAAGTATAATTTGCTGCTTCTTGGCACTCGTTTCATCGCTACTTTTATCGTATCGTCGTCAACTCTATATCGAACCACCCCAACTCCGCCCGCCCTAAACCTCTATATGCAGTTCTTTTTTTCATGTACACTTACTTCTGACGGAACGTGATCAAATCTTGGACGCGCCCGTAAACCTGCCCTCGACAACGGCCTTCATGAGCTGATGAGCAATGGCCTGGGGCGGGGGCACTCGCAAGTCGCCGTCCTTGTAGTCCCGGGGCGTTGGCCCACCGAGCGCGCTGCCACCCCTCGCCAGCGCGACCCTGACCTCGTCGAGGCTGAACCACCTTGCGCTCTCGAGCTCCTTGTCGTGCAGGATGATATCCTCGCCGCCGGGGAGGGCCTGGGCGATGGCGCCGATCATGAGGCTGGAGGGGTAGGGCCAGGGCTGGGTGGAGTGGATGACGACGCGGCCGACGCGGACGCCGCTCTCCTCCCAGACCTCGCGGCGGACCGTCTCCTCCATGGACTCGCCGGGCTCGAGGAAGCCGGCGAGGGTCGAGAACCATTGCGGGGGCCAGGCGGCCTGGCGGCCGAGCAGGATGCGCTTGCCGTCGGCGGAGAGCACAGCAGCGATCATGGTCGGGTCGGTGCGCGGGAAGCACAGGTTGGAGACGCCGCGACGCGTGGGGCAGTCGTCGTCGCGGGGCGGACTGCCGGCGGCGAGGTCGGCGGGCGGGCACACGCGCTTGTAGCCGGCCTGGATGGAGAGGTTGCGGCCGCCGCAGCCGGCGCAGAAGCGGTTGCGCGTGTTCCAGTCAATCATGGACCGGGCCTGAGCGTATATGGAGGCTAGGGAGTATCTCGGTTAGTCGAGGGAAGGCGAAGGCAAAGAGGTCTCGGAGTATGGACGTACCGTGCTCGGGGAGCAGAGTCATGGCGCGTGGATTCGTCTCAAGGGACAGCCCGCGAGCTTCAAACGTTTTTTGAAAGGCCTCGGCGGCCTCCTTGTACGAATCTCTGGGCGTGACATCGACGGCAAAGTACGGTTGGGCTTTTACCGTGCCGTGCGTTGCCGATTCAATCTCGACCGTCTCCGCGGTATCCGCCGCGGCCGCTTCGCCGCCAATCGAGCCTTGTTCCACCAGCCCGAGAAAGACGACCAGCGGCGAGGCCTTGCCGGAGTCAAATCGAGCAATGGCCGTCTTCTCCTCGAGGGCGATGGCGGGCTCGGCGCCAATCAGCGGCTTCACGTCGTCAAAGGAAAAAGTGGCGAGCTGGGACTTGTCGACGGCGACGGCGGACAGGTTGTTGAGGGCGACGTAGCGGGCGGCGGGGGCGAGGGCGGCGCGGCGCAGAAAGGCGGCGTCGGCGCGGAGAAAGGAGTAGCGGTTGAGGCGGGTGCCCGAGTAGTAGTTGACGACCTCGGGGCCGAACTTGCGCGTCAGCATGGAGTCGTCGGCTTGGAGGGCGGGGTTGACGGGGAGCATCACTTTGACGGGCGGTGACGGCATGGCGGGAGAGGAGGGAAGGGGGAGAGAGTGATGTTGAGGGTATAGTCGGTAGGTAGGTTCAAGGAAGACTTGAATGGTGGGGGGGAGCTATCGTGAGTCGATCGATGATTAGGTAGCGGGGTTATGGTTGAAATAATGACCAGCACAATGTGATATCATTAGCGTGAATTCTGTGAATTGTATTTCTAGCAAGATGGGAGAGTAATGGCATCATGGGAAGCGGACTTTGTTGGAGGGGCCGCGGATGAGTAATTGAGCGACATGGTGAGTAGAGAGAGGTAGACGGTGGTTAGCTGGTTGAGCGGATCGCGGGGGCCGGAAATGGGAGCGTCAACATAGTCCGATAGTGGTGGTAGTGGGTAGTGGTGCTGGTAGTGGCGCTGGTAGTGGTGAATGCATCTTAGCTGACGGCGGATGAAGTTTGCAGATCAAAAATGGTCATGTGCTTTTTTCCCTTCTTTCTTATCGAGATGGATGCCCATTTTGTCATTCAACATCGCGTATCTCGATTGCCCAGGCACAAAGAATCAAGGTGAAAGCGAACGGATGCAAAGCCGAGCTGAAAACAAAGGCTTTTCAGCCGTCATTGACAGTTTGCCAAGACCGCAGACACGGCCTCGGCTGGGGTAGTACAAGGCCGGCTTCGTACCTTGACCAGCTCAAGCAGTTGCACCATACCGTTTCAAGCGTCCAAGATGCAACGAATGGCGGATTATACACGCTGATTCTTGTGGCATCAGAACTACTCGACGGCGACTTTCAGCGCCCGTATAACCCAAGTCATCTCGGTTAACTTGTCGAATTTCACCTCGATTTTGACTTGTCGCGCCAGTGGCTGCCATCGAAAAAGCTTCCCATCGCCACGCTAAAATTACTTTATTAGCTCCGCTAAAAAAATGCGCCTCCAAAGTCACACAACCAGAATCCATTCAACCCTTGCCCAGCCGGGACTTGCTAAAAACGGAATCGAGACGGAGAGGAAAAAAAATTCTAAACTACCGATAATTACAGAGCCCATAAAATCTCAATTGTCCCGCTGCCCCATCTTTGATTTCGTCGTGCCCGCCGCCAATTCGCCTCCTCCTTCTTACTTGCTTCTTTTCGGGCATGCTTTCAATGATTTCAATCTGCATTCCGCCTTGTCTCTCACATTTGATCCGAAATCATTTCCGACAATCGCCCTTGCTCGCATGATTGCGCTTTTCAGCTCGTAGCGCAACAGGTAGCCTTGCGCCGATTCGTTCGTCCAACACCACTATTCACAGTTCGCTTCTGCACGGCTGGTCGACGTCATGGCTCCCCCGGCCTCGACCTTTCACCTCGATGTCGAGGCAATCTCTGGCATTTGCGGGTAAGTGCCCATTATCAACTGCAAATACTTGCAACTGCTCTCTAACACTCCCATAGATCAATCTCCATTGCTTGCTGGGGTACGCTGCCCGTCCATCCGTCCCACCACCCCGCCGTCCGATAGTTACTGACAGCTTGTTCACACAGTCGTCGTCTTCTCTCCGCAGATTCTCCAAAACTTTCAGCGTGGCAATGCCGATGCTCTCTCGATCCAATTCATCATTGTCTGGCTTCTCGGCGATGTCTTCAACATTATCGGGGCCGTCATGCAGGGCGTCTTGCCTACAATGGTGCGTCTTGCTAGATCTAACCCGCCTTCACTGCGCACGAGCTCACCAACATCTCCCTCTACAGATCATCCTGGCCATTTACTATACTCTTGCCGATATCGTGCTGCTTCTGCAGTGCTTCTACTACCGCGGCTTTACATGGAAAGACCCTACGCCCGCCCCCAAGCCGGACAACGGACCAAACGAGCGTACCGCCCTCCTCGACGCAACGCAAGAACGCAGAGGCTCCGACTGGACTGGGCTCTCGCCCGCCGTGCCACACATTTCCGACACCAAGGAACCGCAGCCCGCCCCGACTGTCGCCCAGACCGTCCTATGGAACTCGTTGATCGTGCTCATGGTCTGTGCCGCCGGCGTGCTCGGCTGGTTCCTGGGCGAGCGTGCCAAGGGCCCGCGCGAGGACCTGCCGGAAAACAGCAACGACACGCTCAAGTTCAACCTGGTCGGCCAGCTTTTCGGATACCTGTGCGCCGTCGCTTACATTGCCTCGCGCATGCCCCAGCTCATTCTCAACTACCGCCGCAAGACGACCGACGGCCTGAGCATGCTCTTCTTCCTCTTTGCCTGTCTGGGCAACATTACTTACGTGCTCTCCATCTTTGCGTTTGAGCCCAAGTGCGGCGCGAGGCGCTGCAAGCATGGCGAGGCCGGCCAGATATACGGCAAGTACATGCTCGTCAACCTCAGCTGGCTGGCTGGGGCGCTTGTGACGCTATTCATGGACTTTGGCGTGTTCGCTCAGTACTTTATCTATAAGAGGGATGACGACGAGCAGTACCTGTCTGAATATGAAGAGGAGCGCGTGCCGGAGAGCGTTCAAGCTAATGGTCTCGGTAACGGCAACAGCAATGGTCGCGTGCAGCCGACAGAGACTTGGGATCAGCGACCTTTGCTGCAACGCAACGACTCGAGCCAACGCTAATCTGCGCTGACAATGTCGATGTTTTCATTCTTTGCTCTTCTGATTTAATCTTGTACACGGGTGATAGTAACAGCGATTTGTAATTTGGGAAAATCATGACAAAAAAGGGTTCTGGGAGGCATCTTGATTCAAGGCGTTGGTAACGAGGGAAAAGAGGGATGGATAGAGGAAGAGCTGCACTCAGCCCTGGCACGCTGCGCTTACAAGGATATGTATAATTTGGGCAACCTATATCAAATTGGTGTACTATACCGTATCCCTGTCCATTATGAAAATTTTACATTCATCAGCAGCAGCATCGTGAAATCTCTGCTCTCCAACAGGCATGGGTTAGAATTCTCTGCTCCATTCTCAGAGCTCCAAGTCGGTTGCCAATGGCAGAGTCCCTAAACAGACTAGCGTCCCCACACCACCTCTGCCAGAATAAAAAGCCTTCGTCCCTCTTCACTTTTTAACTTTCTTTTCTTCTTTTCTTTCCTCATCATCAGTAAGGGTTATTTCTACACCGTCAAGTGTTTTAATAATTCACGGAGGCTCCGCATACAATGCGGCTTGACTGAGGGCTACCCAACGATTCTCTGTGGGTCTTCTTCCGTTCCCGGCCACCCAGAGTAAAAGTGATCTGCCTTCCCAATCAGCCATTTCGCCGTCACCTTTCCACCGAGGGCACTTGACTGTGGGCGGATCCCGATATCCTATATCACGACGAAGGAATTTGATGAGTCCTACGAATACACATACGTCGAGTAGTGTTAGAGAAGGGGGGAGGAGGAGTAGGAGGTGCAAGGGTTGAGGAATTGGGAGCGAGTTGGAGTCGAAAGTCTATGTCTGTAAAACTTTTGACGCTATTCAGAGCAGCTTCCAACGTAGTCTTGCGGCTCTGCTACCAGCGCGCAGTGAAGTGCTCATGCGAGTTAAAACCATGTCAATCATATGGTAAGGCGAATCAGCCATTACGAATGCCATTAATTTGGTACTTAAATCTCCATTGCTGGCAAAGAATGTTTCTGTCATCTCAGCGGTTGATTTTTCTTGACATCACGTGCGGCACTCCATTGCGACCTCGGTGGTGCTGGCGCTTCCTAGGGGGCCAGTAGCTCAGCTAATCGCGGGCCTGCTCGGAAGGCTTCCAAAAATTTCTACTGTAGCCATCTAACCCATCCTGATCGGCTCATGTCATCCATCTCGCCATCGCATCTTCGGCTTCGCGACCTCTGACGACGACGACACGCCCATTTCTTCATCTCGTCTTCTACCCGTCGCGCAAATTTTCTTTTCCTTAACCAGCATTGTAACCTATCCCCTTTTAATACTCGTCGCCCGCCCGCCCGCCATGTCGTCCCTCTGGAACGCCTTTTCCACCGGCAACAAGCCGCAACAGAAGCAGTCGCAGCCCGAGCCCACGACGACATTCGGAGCCTCCTCCTCCTCTCCAATCTACGACCCGACCGAAGGCCAGGGCGTCGAGTCCTTTCTCCAGAGCAGCGCCTTTGCCGACCCGTCGCAGCTGCACCCGCTCGCGGGCCTCAACAAGGATACGCTCGAGTACCTGTCGCTAGAGGACTCGGCGCTGTCGGACCTTCCCGGTGGGCAATCGGTTATCCCCTCGCGCGGCTTCACCGACGACCTGTGCTACGGCACCGGCACCACGTACGTCTCGGGCCTCGCCATCGGTGGCGCATGGGGTCTCCAGGAGGGCCTGCGCAAGTCGGCCGGCCAGCCCCCTAAGCTGCGCCTCAACGCAACGCTCAATGCCATCACGAGACGCGGCCCATTTCTCGGCAACTCGGCCGGCGTCGTGGCGATTATCTACAACATGTTCAACTCGCTCATTGGGTACTACCGCGGCAAGCACGACGCCGCCAACTCAATCGCCGCGGGCGTGTTTAGCGGCATGCTTTTCAAGAGCACGCGTGGTTTGCGCCCGATGATGATTTCTGGAGGCATCGTCGGCTCTGTTGCGGCCGCTTGGGCGGTATGTCTTGATGCTTCTCTTGCCTGATGCTGGGCGCGTTGCTAACATGTTTCTAGATTGCCCGACGATCTATCTTCGCTGTCCCCGAGCCCGTCCCCTCGGCCTCTACCGAGCTCGAGACCCTGTAAAACACGAAAAAAACGGAACTCACATAGTTACGAAAAGGAGAGAAGAAGGGTACAAACGTCGAAATTCTTGAGACGTGGCATCCGCAGGACATGATTTCATACGGCTCCTCTGGGTAATTTTATTATTGTTTTATTTCCAAGAGGCTTTGCCCCGGTCGGGCAGCGCCTTTGTATACCATTTTTGCGCGATAGAAGAGGAACACATACCGACAAGAACTTACAGGAAGTTGGTGAGGCCTTTGGGATGTGAATGGCTGTGGATACGAAAACTCTCCTCCCCATTGAGTTCATTTCGAAAAGAAAAAATGTATATTAACAATCTGGCACGGGTCAGCGAGCATTAGACCATTTAGGCCACGGCGTTGGTCGTCAATACTATTCATGCAATTGGGTTTAGAGGATGCTGAACAGCAAGTGAGTGCAACGATGCGTTTGCGTGAGGGGTTGCCAGGTTAGACTGTGACATTTTGGTTGAGTTGTGAATTTCGGTGTTGGCAGTGGCATGGCCTAAGTTTATTTTGTCATGCTCTGTCTAGGTTGTGAGGGACTCGCCGCAAACAACATACGTATCCTTCTGTTTTTGCCAGCCCAGCATGTGCAAATGCTTTCCATGGACTTGGACAGAATACCAAGATCCCCTCGATAGAATGCCCGAGCAGTCCGTCTGGGTCAACGACGGGGCATCGTGGCAACTGCAGCAGCTTGTAAGTGATGGCCTTTCTTGATCTCGTTGCCGATGGAGCAGCAACAGCAGCATCTCTGTTTACAACAACCTCGTTTACATCGCTCTGGTATTTGAATGCTCTCTTCCGTTGCACTCATTTATTGCCTGAAAAAGTTTTCAGCAGTCCCAGCTCTGCTAGCCACCGCCGGCCTCTGGACCGGCGAGTTGCTGCGTTTGCTCTTGTTTTGACCCGGCAAAAGTCTGTCACAACTTGTTCATCATTCTCGTCTTTTCCTCTGGCATATCATCTGTTCTTGGGATATGCCCATTCTCGCCCTCGGCCATTACAGATCCCGCGTCCACAACTTCGTTCTCTCTGTCTACAAGGCGCTCGCGGGTCTGCAAAACCAGTGCCCTCGGCATCACCCCCAATTCCTGCGTGGAATCGGTGTCGTTTCCACGATGCCCGACGTCGAGGATCCCGGCAATCCGCCGCGCAAGAGCAAGGAGCACCATCCGCCCGGCCAGCACGCCAAGCAAGTCCATTTTGAGACGACCAACGGCGGCGGGAAGCAGCCGTATCCTCCTCCGCCGCAGGCCTCCTCTGCGCCCAACAGCCCGGGGGCTACTCAGGCAGCATCCCCCAGAAGATCGCAACAGCAGACATCGTCAAAATCTGCTCCTGTCGACAACCAGCCCACGAGCTTCCCGCAAGTCGGCGCGCCGCCCGGCCAGTTTGGGCCCGGGCAGTGGTACACCAGCGCCGATCCGCGCATGAGTCTCAACCAGCCGCAGCAGTATTACCAGCAGCAGCAGCCGCAGTACCATTTGCCTCCAAACGGAGGAGGAGGATACTGGCAGCAGCCTGGAGTGCCTGTGTTTGCAAACGGTGCGCCAGCTGGCGCTCACTTCTATCCGACGGCTGTTCCTCCTCACTATGCTGCCTTTAACAACATCTGCCACCCGGTATTTCTCACCCTTGTTCATCATTTTCACCATCATCACTTTCTGCCCCCTCGTGCTTCTGCCCCTTCTTCCTCTCCTCTTCCAGACTTGCATCACCGCCTGCCCTACCATCATCGCCACCACAACACATCTGCTTTCGTCGCTGGTACTGCTGCTGCTGCTGGCCGGGACAACAAAATCATGGCTTATTACCAAAACGCCGGTCCACCGTCGACCGGCGTCAACTTTCAGCCGCCGGTGCCTGATACCACCTTTGGCCCTATTCCCCACGTCTACGTGCCTCGCTTTGACGCGGCGCCGGTGCCTCAAGTCGGTCCTCCCTCTTTGCAGTTTGTTTACGCTCCAGCAGATCCTTGCCCTCCCTCGTTCACCGTCTTTATGCCAAAGACGTTTTACAACGAAGGCTTCAACTACTATGCAAGTGTCCTCTCAAGAGCAGTGTGCAGGGTGGCCGATGATGATACCAATGCATCAACTCAGCTCTTTGGACTTCCAAGTGAAAGCCCAACATAGCTGGCCTTTGTCTCAAGGGGCCCCAATTACTATCCGATCACCCCGAATGCACACCATTTTCATGCCCCTCGGCGCTCAATATACGCAAACTGTATGCTAACATCTACTTCAGCAGCCTGCCTACAGCGCCGTGCCTGTCGGCCAGCCTGGATACGTCATTGCTCAGCAGCCCGCTATGCTCGCCCAGCCGATGACCCCCGGGCAGCAGCCCGTCTACATTGCCGGTCAAGCTCCGCCCGGCGTGATGCAGGGGGCTCCGCAGCCGTTTATGAGCTGTGGCGTCGGCATCCCCGTCATTGCAGGTAATGGCAACCCCCCCGACGTGTCTGGTCTGGGGCGCACCCAGGGGGAGGAGACGCTGCGGCAGCTGCAGTTTGCGCACGCCAACAAGCTCTTTGAGCCTCAGGAGTTCAAGCCCGCAGACGACGACCCCTCGCGCTTTTATTATGTTCGTGAAGTTGACGGGAACTGGACCCAGCGCAACAGGTTTACTATTGACCACATGGGTGACTGCCGCTGGTATGTCACCGACGAAGGCTGGTTCTATGCCGTTCGACTTCCGGACTAGGTGAGTTTGAAACCTGTTTCGGACGTACACAGCTAATAATTGCAAATGCAAGTCTTGATTTTCTGTTTCAAAAATACATGACTGGCGGTCGATTGAAAATGGTGTGAATAATGTCGAGTCGGGAACCAGGTCCGAAGTGCAAAGACAAAAGTCAGGATTGGAATGAAAACTACAAAGAGTCGAAGGAGAAAGACTGAGAGCTATTCGTTTAATTTGCAAAGCCCTAGTAGGATTAAGGAAAGCAGCATTGAGTACAGAAACTGCTGTTGAGCACTGATTACACTCGCTAAATCGTCTCTTTATTCACTTGTGCTCCGAGAATTGCGCCTGAGATGTTGTTCTTTGAGCAAGTCAGCTCCGTTTGTAATTGTATGACTGCCGGTTTCAGTCAACAAAGCAGATGTTGCCAGCTGGCAGCCCGACTCGACGAACGGAAGGGCAGTTACTGGCTCTTCTGCTTCTTGATAATATCCAGTACTTTCCAACCCCCTGCTCTTCATTTTCGTCTTGCGAGTGGCTGAGCCCATGCACAGTTGCTATTGCTCCTATAATCAATCTAATGGCTCGCAAGAAGAATACCGGTCCGCTACTCTATTGCGAATGGGTCATTGGCGGACCATTGCCCAGCGCTCGCCGCGCTCTCAACCCCAAACCGAAGCCAGAACCCAAGCCCGCTGCGCCTGCTCCTCCGCCCCCGCAAGATGTGATTCGCGTCGAGGTGACAACCGACGATGAGAGGAAAGAAGATACGCTGAAAATCACATTTCCTCGATCTGGAAAAGCAGTAGCCGCCTCCAATGCAGCGGCAGCAGAAGATGAAGAAGCCGGTGAAGCCGTCGTGAAGAAGGTTCGCTTCGAGAACGACAAAAAGAGCGCCAAGAAATCAGCAATGAAGCAGCCCAAGAGCGACGACTCGGACAGCTCGGCCACGCTGGCTGAAAGCTCCTCCGACGGCGAGTCCTCGTCCGACGCTTCTTCATCCGACGCCAAGACGAAAGACGACGACGCCAAGGGCAAGAGCGAGAGCGAGAGCGACGGTGAACCGCACCCGACGTGCAAGTGCTCGCGGTGCGTCAAGAGGCGGCGCAAGGAGAAGAAGGGCACCAAGGCAAAGGACGAATCGGCAGAGGACAGCAGCGATGCGTCGGAGGACTCTGCCTCGGCGTCGGAGGATGAAAAGCCGGCTAAGCAGAAGGAAGCCAAGAAGAAGACGGATACGAAGCAGAAACAGCAGCAGAAGGAGGAGGGGAAGAAGAAGAAGAAGACAAAGGGCAAGAAGAAGGACAGTTCTGATGCCGACGACGAGGCCTCCGAGTCGGGTAAGGAGACGACCGATGAGGAAGTGCCAGCAAAAAAGCCAGCCTCCGAGACGAAAGCGGATAAGAAGAAAGCCGCCGCGGCCGCTGAAGCAAACAAGGAACAGGAAAAAGAGGCTAAAGGAAAAGCCGCCGCTCAGCACCATCACAAGTCATCCCCATCCGCGTCCGCGTTTGCGTCCTCGCCATACTACCCCTCCGCCTTTCCCGGCCCTCACGCGCGGCGGCCCAACCTCATCGCCCCAATCCGCGCGCAGGTCGTGCAGACCGAGGACGTCGTCGAGACGCCCGACGACCCGCCGCCGAATGCCTTTTACGACGCCGCCGCCAACGTCATGCGCGTCTACTACGGACCCGTGTACGGCAACCATAATCCGCAGGCGGCGGCGGCCAGGGGCTGGTCCCTGTATCCGCGGCGCGAGGCGAGTGGACGGCCGCTACCGATCGGCATGCCGCATCCGACGCAGAATCCCTACTATTACGGGTTCCAGCAGCAGCAGCATCAGCCAGCGTCCGGGGAGCAGCCGCGACACCCGTGGGCGGGGCTGTATGCGCCGCCGCCGCAGCAGCCGCAGCCACCGGGGTTCCCGCCGTTTGTAATGAATCCCATGTATCAGCAGCAGGCACAGGATGCTACCGCAGCAGGTGCTGGCGGGGGGCAGTTTACAAAAGGCGCGTTTAGCAAGTGCAGTCCCGCTGCGGGCATGACGCCGAGTGTAAGCCACGCGGACGACAAGACTGGCGGAAACAATGTGCTTCCCACAAGCAAGGTATGCATGGCCCCTGGAATCTGTTATCTCTGGGGAGAGTGTGTGTCAAGATGAGCAAAATTCTAACAAAAAAAAACAGATTGACGATAAGAAAACTACGAGCCCGTACTACACTCCGAGCAAAACCGCCGCCGAGCTCCGCAGCGCCGCCAACAGCCACCGCAACAGCCCTGCCAAGTCCGCGTCGGCGGTAGCGGCGGCACCAAACACGACCGACGTCAATGAATCTGGCAGGGATAGCAATAATAACAATAACAACAATAACAACAACAGCAGCAGCACGCCCGCAGCAGATGCCACAATGTGGAACGACGGTGCGGCTAATAACAATAATGACTGGAACACGACCGCCACCAACGACGCCAATGCGGGCACCACGACCAACACCTGGGAAGCTACCAACAACAATGACCCCAGCAATGCTGGAGGCGGCAATAGTTGGGATTACAACAACAACAACAACAACAGCAATAATAATAATACTAGCGGCAATACGTGGGACAACCCCCCTGGTAGCGAGCCGCCGGCGGGAGATGCCACCAACGTAACGCCAGGTATACCCGGATCGTGGGATCCCGTAGACCCCGTAGGTCCGAGGCCTGCATGGTGCGATCCGAGCATGGCACAGAGCACCGGTGGCGCTGCAGAAAACTGGTAATCCTTGATGTTTTCATGTTCCGATTGCCGTTTTCTTCAGTGACGCTGCATGGTCAAGGAAGAGATGGTGCTAAATGTGTATAGTATTGCATAAGTAGGTACTTTCGTGGACGCTAATTATGAAAAGTCGGGGAGGTGATGGACGCTCATGGTTTATACCCCGTAATAGATTGTGCATGTATATACAAAATAAAAGACGACGCTCGCTTAGCTATCCGTCAGTTTGTTCAGTGACGAAAGTAAGTAAGTATCCAGCCATTATAGAATGGAACACGAGTTGAAAGACCTGAAAACGTGTCAACTATTGGTCACTTTACTTTATTTGTTTCGGACCAAAACGTCGCGGGCGGCATACCATGTTCTCGTCTCCCATTCAATGATCCACTTGCAGCAAATCTTGAGCCTCTCGCGTACGCTGGCCGATCCCAGCAGACGGTACTTCTCCGCGTCCTTGACCGGGAGAACGCTGGCCAGCCACCATGGAAAGATGGATGGGTCTTGTACGGGGCATGCACCGTAAATGGCGAGCATACGGTCCGTCATCCAAGGTACGCTTTGGTCGCGCATGCGTCCGACAAAATCGGTAGCCAGCTGCATGAGGTCCTGCGTCGTCATCGTCTCCAAGCTCGGCACGGTAATGGTGGGTCGTGCTGCTCCCGGCGTTGTCGACGTGCTGGAAGCATAGCCGCCGCTCGCGGAGCCGTCGTCGCTGTGGCGGGGTACGGCGTCTGGCGGCGGCGGAAATGGGGTGGCATCGGCAGCAGCTGCTGCAGCCATCTCGGCAGCTTCGGTAGCCTCTTCTTCTTCTAGGCTAATGTCATCGATCCGTTGCACAGATGACACGGTGTAACCGTCGAGCACGCCATGCCGCTGTACGCGAAATCGGGAGAGACCGACTGTCTCAATGAGGCAGCGGCCGTCTGGGAAGAACTGCACATTTTCGATGCGCAGCAGCGTGCCGAGCTCGTGAAAGTGGGCATCGCCGGGCTGCCGCGGGCGCTTGGGCAGCACCATGCCAAACGTCTTGTCGCCTTCGAGGGCGCGGCGTATGAGCAGACGGTACCGGGGCTCGAAGACATGGAGAAACGTGGGCATCTGTGGAAAGGCTAGGGTGCAGACGAAGAGTGGAGTTTCAAAGTCCTGGAGGCGCGCGGCCTCCTCGGCTTCAACAGCGCGTTTTCTGGAAGCGAGCTCGTCGGTCCAAAAGGTTTCGATAATTCTTGTCAGAGAAGCGTTGGACGGACATGATGCGCGGTTGAGAAGCGGGTTGATGGATAGTCGACGACGACAGATGGGGCAGTATCGTGAATGGTCAAGGATCCGGTGCAAGCAGGACCGACAAAAAGTGTGGCCGCAGCCGGTAGTTAATGGGTCGTGATATAGGGCGTAGCAAACTTGGCAGTCGAGCTCTGAACGAGCGACGCGTTGGGTCTGCGCGAACGAGGACGTATCTTGCGAGTTATTGTTGCCGCGGTCCTCATTGATAAACTCATGTCCGGGTGCCGTTTGTTGGGATGGTTTATGGTCCTGGTCTGCCTCGGTATTACTGTCGGTGGACCTTGATTGAGAAATCTTTGATGTAGTATTTTGTATCCGAGTTGCGACGTCATCGACTGGCCGAGTGATAGCGGCTGACCCTTGAAGGCCAATCGCGTGTCGAATATGCTCAGACAGTTTGTTGAGCGTGACATCAACACCACAGTCTCCAAGCGTATGCTCCTTTGTGCAAGACGAAAAGGGACAGCGAAATCCCTCTAGTCTGTCGACTACAGCCGGGTAAGATATGCGACTTCGGACATGAGCCTGTGGGATGCATGGTTTGCATATACTCCTACCACAGGGGAGGGTGACGGGCTCTTGAAAGAGCTTTTTGCACAATGGGCAATGAAAAAGGTGGATGACGTCTTGTAATAGGAAGCCGGCTGGCTGGGGCGCGGCGGACCTTGGCTCTGGGACGTCGGGGGCGGACATTGGTCTGACGGATTGTGGCGCTGCTGGAAAAGGATATTCGTCGAGTTTGCGAGGAGCGTCTGTAGATGCAGGGGTCAGGTCGGCCATGGGGCTGGTTGCATGGTAGAATTGAGAGTCGAGCCTCGGGGTGGCAACCTGCCGCGAGGCATCAGACGACATGAATAGGAAAAGGGTAAGTAGGCGCCAGTTTTCCGCCAGTCAGTAAAAGAAGCGCGATGGTCCGCCTAGAAGGTAGTTGGAAAAGAGGCAAAAGTGTGCAAGGAGTGACGCGGTTGAAGCGTCCACGGGTTGTTGCGGCTGTTGTCGAAGCAGTATCCGGGGAGAGGACGGATGAAGCGCAGGCGCTGAGTCGTGGCAAGTCGTGCCGAGGAGGGCCGAGAGTTTCAGAGCATGCAACAAAAGGAAGTAGCGACTCTTGAGGTTGAGATGTGAAGAAAAAAAGGTATCTGCTAGAGCGTTTTTTACTGAGTCGCGGAGCATGTGGAGGCGCAGTATGTCGGGGCGAATGTCATGATGTAGTTGTTGTACAGAGTGAGTGTACTGGCAAGTGGACCGAAGACTGGCTGGAGCGGATTGGTGTGCGCGCGCGTCGGACTGATTTGTCGACAATGGCTTTTTGTCTGGTTAGCGTAGAGGTGACAGCAAGACACAGAATTGGTGGTGACGTGACGAATAAGCCAAGGGGGGTTCCCCTCTCTTTTAAAAGAAGAGAACAAAAAGCGAGTTCAAAACGACGAGGACAATGTCGAGTTGAGACAGCCTAGGGTGGGAAAGTCGGAGACGGTCTGATTGATGATGGGCGACAGGCGCAAAAATGGTCATACAAAAAGCGGGTGTAGATGGCATGACATCGTCGACTAATCTTAGACCCTGTAAAAAGGGAGAGGCGGAGCTAAGCATCAAACGGTTATAATAAATGAGTTGTGTGTGTGTGTGTGTGCGGCGTCGTGCCGATGACGATTGATTGGGTTGGGGCTGACAGTTGGTGGGCAGTGCAACTTGGAGACAATGAGAAGCGAGGTTGACGACAGGAGTTCGTATACAGTTTGAGAGACGAAGCTTCTGCCCGTTGAAAATCGTTTGCTGTACGCCGTCGTCGGTTGGCTCGTGTGGCTTGAGGCTTGACAAGGCCTTTTTACCTTATTAGCTAGTTAGTGTTTGAATGTATGATGATGTGCAGTGCTGTTTGGTGGAGGCTTTGCCATTCCTTTACGGCGCTAGCCTTTGGTAATCATGCTAATACTTGCCCACTGCCGTGCCTGCCTAATTTTTTTTTTTTTTTTTTTTAAAAAAAAGTAATAATTATTTAATGGACGCCTGTCATCCATCGCTCTTTCCCCCGCACACTTTGCTGGTCCAGTCCGACCACGCTCGGGCTTGCTTTTGTTTTTCAGGGTCTCGCCCGCTGTCGGCGCCCTACATAGGTACAAGCCATCTTCCCAGGTAGTTAGTTACCAAGTAGGTACCTTGTGATTTGACTCGGAATGACCCAGACCGACCCCATTTTGCTCAATTTCAGCTGCTCTTTTGACTGCCACAACTGCCTTTCCCATTCTCGCTGCGAATTACAGCGAGGTAGCCCGCTAGCATTACAGGGATTGATGGGTACCAATCGATGAATCTCGTCGAACCAACTGACCCAGCCTTCCATCATCGTGTCGTATTTATCAATCGCGCTGCAACTCTGTTATTTCCATTTACTCATCATTTTCTAGTATCCCCTCGTGCCCCTTCACACACACTCTGTTTTTATGCCGTCTTACAAATTGTAGCGCCAGCCAAGCCAATGCACTGTCTATGATGTCATGCCGGCGGGTCGTGCATTTTGCGCCCGGCTCACCGTCGACATCACTCGGTCGTTGGCGTCACATGCGCCGCATATTCTTTCAACCTCTGATTACAATATCCTTATATATAATGACAAAGTAATAATAGAAACATACTCCAACGTTCACATCTGGACTAATATAAAGAGAAATTGCCTCCATAATGAGGCCAGCGGTCAAATACCGCCGGCTGAACGACTCTGCGGCGGCCGCAACAGCCGGTAATACCCACCCTTGTTGTAGCTGGCGACGACAAGGCACTATGATCTGCTGGCGTGGGATTCATTCACGTGGACACTGCCTCGTCTCTACAAATCCGAGACATGCCTATTGGTCTTGTCCTGAGCTGCAGGTCTCACATCACCGAAGGACCCTATGCGAGACAGTTCACTCTCCTCCGACTTGGCCCGACCAATGTTGGCTCATAAGGAGTATTATTCAGGAGCGCCCATCCCGCCGATGTAATTACCAAGGATAAAGAGACTAGATGAGGACACTAAGAACAGCACTATCAACCAGGAAATCAAACCTTGCCGCGTCCCAAGCAGCCATTTGCCGTGCGAATCACCTCTGGGGTATCTGACATGCCTATTCAGAATAAATCACGACCGCCGCCATTCCCATAACGAATGCTCAAGTAACCTGTTATCGTAAAAAATGTTATGAATCGGTAAATTAAACCCATGCTTCATCGCACGCCGCCCCAACGACTCTTGCCCGCTGCCGTGCGCCCCCAAAACAGTCGTCGTCCAATGTTGCCAAAGCAGAGACAGCTGCAGAACAGCACACTCAGCATCCACACGCCCGTCTCAATGACCTGGATGTCAGGAATGAGGGGGCTGGTGCCGTTGACGGATTTTACGTCACGCAGCATCTGCAGCGACGGCGTCGGCATCATGTCCGGACTGATGCCGAGCAGCAGGAGAGAACCCACCAGGCCGACGGCCGCCGAGAGCAAAAATCCGGGTTTAGAGCGGTCGATGAGCCACCATAGTAGCGGGTTAGCCAGAGCCAGTGTAGCCGAGATTTGCAAAGTCGAGTCCCATGCGAGTTTGCGCTGTACACATGCTATGTTAGCAACAGAGTAGGAGGAAGCATCGCGCCAAGGTAGCAAACAAGGTAGATTACGTACAATGGCAAATACTATGCCGACAAACGCGCCAATGGCGCGCATCACCAACGCAGAGTCTAATCCCGTGTCGACGGCTTGGTTGGGAGAGGTCTCGCCATCTGCAGCTGCGCAGTTCTCTTCTGCTCCTGCATCACCGTACCGAGCTTCCCATACACCATCAAACCAAGGCAGCAGCGAGCCTAGTACCACACCCGCCACGCCCCAGACCCCCAAGTACGTCGAGTTGAAGCCAGGCTCAACAAACCCATCAGCAGTCAAGCCCTCATGCGAATCATGCAGACGCGTGACGAGCGCGCCGTAGCCTAGACCCAGCACAAAGAGCACGGCCGTGCGCACTGCGATCTGAACGCTGCTCATGTGCGGGGGCAGCGCGCGGGGCAAATCGCCACCCTTGTACGAGGACCGTCGTCGGTCGAGGTGCGCGCGCTCTTGCATCAGCGCAAACGTTGGCTCGTCGATGCCAGGCCGGCGGATGGGCGTCTGCGCACCCATGCCCCACGGCGAGTCGTCCACGACGACGTCGTCGCGATAGCGCGCGCCGCCACCGGTCGTCGGGGAATAAATGCCATAGAGCGTCGATGACGTTAGGTTCATGATGGAGGCGGGCCGGCTGATGGCGGGTGAGGCATGCTCCGACGGGTTGGCGCTGTCGCCGCCGCGGCTCCATGCGGCGAGGGCGGCGGCGAGGTGGTTGTGCAGACCGGGCGAGGAAGTGGTGGTGCCGATGGACGAGAAGGCGGAGGCGGAGGCGTCGCAGTTCAGAGCCTCGTCGTCAGGAGGGGTTGCGCTTTGTCGGTGGAGGGTATAGGGTCGTCGGGGCACAGGCCGGACGAGTAAAGGACCGTCGTCAGACATGGTGTGTCAAAAGGAACCAAGAAAATCGTCGTCTGCCGTCGCACTGCAGGTATCAACAGGAGTAGATGCAACAGGCGGCAGGATGCTGCACACAGAAAACTGCAGTTGGGTTTTATGCGTCAGCAGGAAGGGAAACTTTCGTAATGTGTTCTCGAGCGACATTGGCAAGCCACCCACAAAAGCTTAAAATGACAGACGGCACGTACCTGGCAGACCTGAAAGTCTGATTTTCGAGGCTGAAAGAGGAGACAATATGATGTTCGAGGGAAGCGCTGAAGAAATAGGTAGCGAGCGAGGAGGCAAAGACACCAAGATGTAGTCAGACGGAAGGGAGGGTAAAGGAAAATAGGAGCACACCAGAGTGTGAGACAGCACAGCTGATGAGGCTTCGCGAGGTTGGACTGGATTCTGACACGAGCGTGCCCTTACTAACAGGCCACTGACGATTCGCTGGTTGCTCGGTCGCCTGCTAGTCCGTTAACAGCTAGTGGTGGTGAGATGGTACAAGCCTGTTAGCGGGTGGCGCGGAGGGGGGATTCGAGGTGGAGCTGCTCACTGCAGCGCGGCGGCGACTTTTGTAGATGACTAGATGGTGACAATAAATAGATGCGGCGTTTTTTTTTTTTTTTGACAAAGTGAAAAAGACTTGGCAAGTACTCTATATGCTCCCGTGAGTGATGTAAACGTGGCGAGGCTAATGTTGACGATACCACAGCACGCACAGCCAGCCAAGCACACCAAGGTCTGTGGCGGCCGACCCGGATCTTGAGCCTGGCACCCTGGGCCTCGGTATCTACAGTGGGGTGTAGGTGCCATTCAGGGTGCCAGGTGCCACTATTCGACCCGCTCATAGAGGTCAGACACTGCGGGGAGAGGGCTTGTGATGGCACTGATGGAGTTGCATGGTCATGGGCAAGAGGCAACCCTTTCGCCGGAGCTGGATAATTATACGAAGGTGCAGAGTCAATATTGGCACCGAAAGTCTCCCCATCCTTCACCATCAAGTCCAACCCCGCAAATACGTCGTATTATTCGGCACACCTTGCTGTGCCACGTAGCACGATCGCCTCACGACCCCACGCTGTAAAAATCTATCTGCATAGGTAGGGGCTTGGCGATGCTCCCAGTGCGCGACGGCGACGTTCCTTTGCTGCTATGCTATAGGTCCACGAAGTACGCGCACATCCATGATTGCCATGTCCTGCACCCCCGTCAAGCCTCCGTCCTCTTGGACCTATCAGCCCCTTCTTCCTTGCAGACCCCCGGCGGCTGCTCCCGTCCATCTCCGACACCAAATGGCCTCGACCCTAGGCTGTTGGCTGTTTGTGACCCAACCTTTACAAGACGGCAGCTTCGTGCCATGCCTCGTTGCAACATCAGCAGCGCTTATCATCTAGGTGAACGAATCATGCAAAACAAGGTCTTCTGCCGTCGGACGTTGGGGAGGGTCCAGCTGAACCGCAGCAAAAAAAAAAACATGGACAGAATCATTTGCCCGCGAGCTCTCCACCTATTCGCTTGACGCTGTGAATATAGTGCAGCCAGAAGGCGTGTCAGGATCGGTAGATATACATTTGCAGTAGAAACTCGACTTGAAAGGTCTCCGGACGAAAGCCACAAGGCTACCTAGGGACCAAAACATAGCAAAACCCACACTTTGCCGACTCGCAAAGAGAGTCCCGCTCCCGAAGTGCCCTCAACGTCGTAAAGCTAGCCTGCACTGCTATACCAGCTTCTCTGCGATCTACACCCAGCCCGGCCTAGAGAAGAAATCCGAGCTCAAAGCGGCATCCGATGAGAACAGAGGTCTGGACCAGAGCAGGGACTGGAAGCCGACCAGACGTCTGGGCCCGAGCCGCGACCCGAACCAGAACAGCAAACACAGCCACAACATGATCCAGGGCTGCACACAGACTCATCGATAGCGCAAGAGTCAGCGTCGCAAGAACTAGTGGAGGGTGAAGACGATTCCTACTACTGAGCCAGTCATGCTACCGGAAGCCAAGACTCTGGGACAGAGAATACGACAAGCTCAGACATAGGGAGAGCCGAATCTGGCCGCCGATTACGAGACTTTATTTGCGAAAGGATGCGAGCACAATGACAGGTTGAAGAAAGAGAAGCTCATGATATTGCCACTCGCGAGCCTGAGCGAATGGAAGAAAAGAGGATCAGTTGCACACTGTTTGGTCATGGATGCATTGTCAAAGACCAAATTGCGGCCTTGTTGAAACTTGATGGCATCGAGGTATCGCGTGGAGTAACTTTGGTGTGGGCCGGTGCCTGCGTCAATCAACCTCTTCAGGTTGGGTGTTGGATAGTCTCGCTGCCACCATATAACCACGGCCACTAACTTTCTATGATAGATATCAAAATAATCACTCATATATACTAAAATATATATAATTATAAAGTATCACTCTACGCAGGTGACAGGATCAAGCCATCTATGTTCGACCTCATCCTTACGGCTTCTATTGCCAACACTGGAACGCAAGATGTTTCTCTAGTTCCAGCGTCATTAATCAAGCAATTTCTAGACGGTGATTAGTAAAAGGGTAGTTAAGATAAGATCGAAAGTAATGGAACCAGGGGTTATTAGAGCGACCCGTGAGCCATGTTCATGGCCTGGGGTTCTAACACCACAGGAAATTAACAGTATTGACAGTATACAGACTAGTTCCAATCATCGCGACTATATTGAGAAATCCGAATCGACTCGGGCTGGCCGTCTCAACGATGAGGTGTATGCAACAATATCGTTTGGCCGGCATGACCCAGCATATGTGCGGCTTAATGCCAATGCAGCGGGAAGGGACACGTCCAGATTTAGGCCAGCGAGTGGGAATATGACGCAAATGCTAGATAACCATTATATAAGTAGTGAGTTTAACGGAGCTTGCACAGACATTTATCATTAGCCAGAGTCGATTTGGTATGGCTTTGTGAGGGGTGTGAGGTACTTCAGTCACAGAATAATCCTGCTGCCTTGGGAATGATGATGGAATTATCGCTGTCTCCTCCCTGATAGTTCGTAAGCAGCTCGCCTCTATATGCTTGCTTCCTCACACGTGATTCCTCGTGGGTATTGGCTCTCTTGTGCACTCTGAGCTGTGACCCTGACTGGCTTCTAGAAGTTCTTTGTCTACGGTTCCAAGAATATTCGATGTGGTTTCCTTCTCGAAAGGTCAGTCTTGAGGTTGGCAATAAAAGATTTCGCTATTCTCCCTATTATAGAGTCGATTGAGTCTTTTCTCGTGCCTTTCCTATGCGCGCAAGCTCCCTGTCTATTCTCTTGAAACTCCAGCTCTGCCAGAAGGAGGGGTCTAGAAACTCGCAACAGCCACATGTCCGTACGGAAGAGCTCAGCATTGACTGACAGAGAAATGGTCTCAGATCTAGAGCCAGTCAGATTTCTTCCCAGTATAATTCCCCCTAGGCAGTAGTGACAAGCTTACCAAAGCGATTATCGTCGGGTGAGTAATCGTTGCTAGAGAGGATTAGCTTATACCAAGACGGGTTAAGCAAGCTTGCTGTGTCTCTCCCAGAGTCAATCCAAATATACAAAGGTTGAGGAACTGTTTTCAGGAAGAGTTTCGTGAGGCGGAAGAGGGGGTGCTCACTTGCATTCTCGCAGCGTGGTGGAACAATGGCTGTTCTGTATCATGGCCTACTAAAGTATACAGTCACAGGCCGGGAAACGGTTGTAGAAAGCCCCCAATATCAGTGCGCGAAACAACAGAAAAGGACGGCTTTCAAGTGCTGCGCATTGACTATCTCTATAACGGTAGCCGATTATCGATAGCAATCGCTTCTGGCCAGACAAAGATACGGCCCCATATCCTTGACTCGATCGCTCTCATCCGTCACCGGGATCACATCCAAATCCTTAGATCGAGTGCAAAGCTAGCATGCAGGCTTATCACGGACGGAAGTGAGAATCTCAAAAAAGAAAATCGTGGAGTGAGACACGTCAAGACACTTTGATTGTCTATGTGATGTTGTTTAGAGAATCGTGTCGTGATTTCTGGGACCGGCCTTTGCGGCCATGACATGGTTGAGCAGGGGCTGACACAGCCCTCCCAAGCTCCCAAGACACAAATTTGCTTTTTATTGTTCGAAATCCATGCATCCCTACAAGGCCACTCTTCATCGCCATTTGCTATCCCCGTCAAACCTGTGTATTCTGTTCAGCTGAAGCCGGAGGAACACAGGCAGACTACTTGTTCCACTGCTCTTTGCTTGTTTTCCTCAAATAACCGGACTCTGTCCATACATGACTCTGTGACTTTTGTACTTTAGCTGAATTCCTGAGAAATACTGTTTCTCATTTTGTCCACATGTCTGATTGAAAAGTCCCCGAAAGGCGGGCGGCGGGGAAAGAAATGCAATGACGACACAAAGGATGCCGTTCGACAACAACCTATTAGTAGATTGCTCAATCGCCGCCAATGTCAAAATGGTCCTTTTCTGTCACTAAATAGCTATTCAGAAATATAATGCCGATAGTTCTCCGCTGAATTGATAATCGAGAGTAGAAACCTTGAACCCTCTCAAGCAATCCTAACCAAGTGCTGTGAGGGCTTCAAACGGCCTTTGTGTCCGTAGTCTGGGAACGTAGCCGCAAACGATGTAGCAGTCGGCTAAGGCAAGGAAGCAGGACACGGCAGATTAAGACACGGCGTATTAAGACACAGGTCAAGTGTCATCGAGCGGCAACATGAGTGGCTGTACCAAGGATGAGTATTCAGTGCGGGAACAGCGGCTGTCCTTTGATCATGCCGTCTTGCGGTAAGTTGATGGCGGCTTACAAGGCCACGAATCGTCAATCATAAGTGGAGATTTCTCCTCGAGACTTGGATATATAAGTCCTTGAGCCGACTGCAATTGAGCAGAACCTGTTCCTCATCCGCTTTACAAACAAGCAAAGCCGACTGCTTGAGCACTTTCTACACGCCTAATTCCCTCGAACAAATTTCACCTTATCCATCATGGTCAAATTCAGTCTCATGCTGGCCATTACCAGTGCCATGCTACCTGTCAGCGTCATGGCCGACGGCGAGTGCACGAAGAACTCTTTTACTGCGGGTTTCTCCTGATCGACGGAAAAGGTAAACGAGTATTCAGCCCCCCCCCCCCCTCTCAATTGCTCTTGTCAGCCTTCCAATTATATAACACTTTCTATTACACCGATTCAGGCTACACTGAGCGCCAGGTCGCCGTAGCTGCAGAGAGATATATTTGTAAGCCCGAGGACAGCAAGTATGTGCGACAGTCTCTATTCGCATGCGCACACAACGGCAAATTTTTTGGCGGGAATTTGAAGTTTCTGCAGCATTGTAAGAAAGGGTGCAAAGACGCAGGGTACCGGAAAGACGATTATTGTCTCTAAAAAGGTGTGTGTTAATCACAGAGGTGTGGTTCCTTTTACCTACAATGCGTTGGGTGTGACTCTGAAGAAAAGATGTATAAGTGGGAATAGCTTTGGAACAGAATACCAGAATGTCAAATTGAAGTGATTTTTTTTTTAGACTCACTGGCTGCTTGGTGGCTTTTGCTAGCCTTATTCTACACTCGAAATAATTCCGTGTGAACCTCGTAGCGAACAAACTATTGAAAAAGATTATACTGTCGGCTAAATCTGCGCCGCTATCTCTGGACCAACCCATCACCTTGCTTAACCTATAGTCGGGCTAATGGTTGGCATTGGCAGCTGCGCACCGGAGTCGAGCATAATTTTTTTTTTTTCAAATCCAGATCTTGCCCTCTCTTGTCAAGCTTTATTCATCATGGCCTTGTGCGCAAATCACGACACGGTTCGCCTTGTATGCAATGATGTTTCCATATTGGGCATGTGGGGTAGGTTACAGTGCAAGACGTTGAGATATCAAGCATAAAAATGCGGATCCACACTTTCCATTATGAGTAAACGTTTCGTAGGTGCCACATAATATAATAAGTAGTTTATGTTTTCTATAAATACTTTTAGTATTATAAACTTCAACTCCCTCGTTGCCGAAAACTGTTTCGAGGGTGCTGGCTGTATTCGCGTTGCTTTCCCGCCAAGAGCCTCAACACTGTTCTACTTGTAGGGACCAACAACTTTGCATTGGCGAACCTCAAGGACCCATGTCATCCTCCACCGTGTGGTGAGCCATAGCCTAGGTACTCAGTAAATTTGCAGGCTCCTCGGCGGACCCGTATGATGCGGCCAAGTAAGTCGCAGAATAGCGGAGATTAAAATGTATGAGATTGGTGTGCGCTATTTCATTTGAGAATCGTAATAAATAATAAATGACCGAGGTTTTGCAGCCCTCTGAATTTAAGCAGCCTTGCGAGCGATGCAGTCGTAGTTAGTAAGTTGCAGCTCCGAGAGGACGGTTCTCTAGTGCAACCAGACCCTAGGTATCACGACAGGGGCGGTGAACTGCCTGCCGCATTGTGTGACAGCGGAGTATCGTCCCGGCCCTCCGTTTGTTTTTAGTGCAACGTTTTTACGTTGTACTGGTAAGAAGCGCACTATGAGTAATGCTTGTGGTTGTTCAGTGGCTTGAATGCAGGGTCGTACCAGGCAAGGTTTAGTGCAACGGACACCTTGTCGCAGCAAAATGCATGCCTAATAAGTTAACTAAGGTAGGTAGGTACCTAGTGCTGCCACCATCTATTTCTCCTTGTCGCTTCTGCAGGAACACTTTTTCGTTCCTACAAACTCTGGCTACCGAGCGAAATTTCCAGCATCTGCAGAGCCTCAGATCAAGTCAGCGCCATCATCATACTCAACACGATTTTCTACAAGCACCATCAGCAGCCAACGCCCTCTCCCCGATAAATACGATCCTCTACAAGAAGAAGTCCCAATGAAGCTACCTGTTCTTGCACGGGAAATCCACTGTGACTGCAAAGAAATGCCAAGCAGCTAGCTGGGCTGTGATTCACACATCGGGTGCCAAGCTTTTCTGGGTCCCTCCGCGTCCTCGGGCCCGAAAGTGGTGGCCTGATAGCCTGTAAGGAGAATGGTTCCTCGGAATCCGTTTAGAGTTTTTTTCCTTCTACACCAAAAGGGGAATGTTTGCCAAGAGAATATGTGGCGTGCGCGTCAGCCCTGGCTGCACAAGGTGAAGGCTTCAGCGGAGTTTGGTGCACGCAACAATGAAACTGCGCCCCAAGAACGTCGATTCATCGTGATTCGTCGTGATTCCTGTCACGGCGTCTATATAACGGTGGGCAGCCTGTCAAGCGCATACAATGTCACATTGTCCCTGGTCGTACAGTCTGAAGCGACTTGAACCTACACAAAGTCACATCGCATCCTCTATATATTGAGCATTTTTCTGACCTTATTTCGGATACCCCCCTACAATTCTCTTCGTTTTGGTATTTACACGAAGCCTCTGCTTCACATCCTGAGTAGCCATGGAGGCTCCAGGCAAATCCAAAGTCATGGCCACAAATCTTGACGAAAAGGCGGCCCGGCCATCACTAGAAAGCGAATCCAAGTCTGAAAAGTCATCAGGCAATGCCTATTTTGTAACAATATCCCCATACTTTTCTGTTGGAATACGTCTAATTTGAATCATTCATAGCGAATATTTACCTACGCCACCGCGTTCGAGTACACGCTCCAGGGCATCGCCATCATCGCCGCCATTGGCTCCGGCGCTGGCATCGCCCTGCAAAATCTCATATTTGGCGATTTCGTCACGACCATGACCGATTTCACCAATGGGAGAGCCACACCAGCTCATTTCCGCAGCGAAGCCAGCAAGCTAGCGTACGTCCAAAACCCCAACACTGAAGCCCGCATCGAAAACCACTAACACCCGTCACGACAGTCTGTACTATGTCTATCTCGGAATCGGCCGATTCGCCCTCTCGTACATCTACAACGCACTTTTAACCTATGCCTCGTACCGCATCGTCCGCAACCTCCGCACCGCGTACCTCCGCGCCGCGCTCAGCCAAGAGGTTGCCTACTTTGACGTTGGCTCAGGTGGCTCCATTGCGACGCAAGCCACCAACAACGGCCGTCTCATCCACGGCGGCATCTCTGAGAAATTCGGCCTTACTTTTCAAGGCCTGGCCGCCTTTGTCACGGCATTCATCATTGCCTTTATAACGCACTGGAAACTAACCCTGATTACGCTGTGTGTCGCGCCCGCCATCATTATCGTCATGGGCGTCATTTCGACTTTCCAAGCCGCCATTGAGACCAAGATTCTAGACACTCACGCGCAGGCCAATTCATTCGCCGAGGGCGTCTTGGCAAGCGCGAGGACTGTGCATGCGTTTGAGATGCGCTCGCGCCTCGTGGCCAAGTTTGACGCTTTTCTGCAAGAGGCCCATCGACTGGGCAACAAGAACTCGCCGCTGTTTGGTGCTTTATTCTCGGCCGAGTACACCATCATCTATCTGGGCTTTGGTCTGGCATTCTGGCAAGGTGTGAATATGCTGGCGAGAGGCGAGATTCAAAACTCGGGCCAAATCTTTACTGTACTGCTGTCTGTGGTGATTGCGGCCATTAGCCTGACCAACTTGGCACCCTACCTGATTGAGTTTACCCGTGCTGCCACGGGCGCTTCCCAGATGTTTGTCCTCATCGACAGGAAATCTAAAATTGACGCTTTTGCCACAGCTGGTGAGAAGCCGAGCCAGACGGAAGGCGATATACAAATCGAAAACGTTACATTCGCCTACCCGACTAGACCCGACACCGTTGTGCTCGACAACTTTTCTCTCAATATTCCTGCTGGCAAGGTCACCGCTCTAGTGGTAAGTCTGATCGATAGCACCCCTGTGTACGTATTGACTCATGATGTGATAGGGTCAAAGTGGCTCAGGAAAGAGCACCATTGTTGGTCTTCTCGAGCGCTGGTATGATCCTCTTTCAGGTGTCATCAAGCTCGACGGTCGCCCCATCACCGACTTGAACCTGAACTGGCTTCGCAAGAATGCACGACTTGTTCAACAGGAACCCGTCTTGTTCCAAGGCTCTGTATTCGACAACATTGCCAACGGCCTCGTCGGCACACCCTGGGAAAACGTGCCCCGCGCTGAAAAAATGGCACGCATCCAGGAAGCCGCCGAGACTGCCTTTGCGCACGACTTCATCTCGGAGCTTCCCCAAGGCTACGACACGGAAATCGGCCAGCGCGGCGGCCTCCTCTCGGGCGGCCAGAAGCAGCGCGTCGCCATTGCCCGCAGCATCGTCTCGCAGCCCAAAGTCCTGCTCCTCGACGAGGCCACCAGCGCGCTCGACCCGCACGCCGAGGGTGTCGTCCAGCAGGCGCTCGACCGCGCGTCCAAGGGCCGCACCACCATTACCATTGCGCACAAGCTGGCCACAATCCGCAAGGCAGACAACATTGTCGTCATGGCAAAGGGCCGCATTGTTGAGCAGGGCACGCATGAACTGCTGCTTGCGGCTGGGGGCGTGTATGCGAATCTAGTCTCGATTCAAAACTTGGCCGTCACCGCAGCGGCGGACTCGGATGATGACGACGAAAAGTCGGATAAGACGGCGCAGGAAAGCGATGCGCTGGATCCGGCCGACTTGCAGCAGACGCTGACGCGCCACGCGACAGAGGATAGGCGGCGGATGGAGAAGCAAAAGAATCGAGATAGCTATGCCAACCACAAGCAGGTTGGCATGGCTACTGCCATTATGCGTGTGATTAAAGAGAGCCCTGATCTCACTTGGGCATACATTATGACGGTGATTGGCTGCATGGGCGCCAGCGCCGGTTTCCCCGGTCAGGCTATCTTGGTCGCCAACACTGTCCAAGTCTTTACCTTGACCGGAGCCAAAATGGTAGAGAGAGGCAACTTTTTCGCGTCCATGTTCATCGTTCTCGCTGCGGGATGTCTCGTCTTTTACTTTATTCTCGGCTGGACTAGCAATACCATTGCCCAGGTAAACCCCGCCCTGCTCTTTTCTACTACTAAAACACTGTCAGACTAATGTTTGTCCTTTCCAGGCCCTCTCACACAAGTTTCGTCGTCAGAGCTTGAATGACATGCTACGCCAAGACTTGCAATTCTTTGACCGCCCAGAGAACAACACCGGATCCCTAACGAGCCGCGTGGACAGCAACCCGCAGTCCATCCTGGAGCTCATGGGCATCAACGTCGGCCTCATCTTCATCTCCATCCTCAACGTCGTCACCTGCAGCGTCCTTGCCATTGCGTACAGCTGGAAGCTCGGCCTCGTCGTCGTGTGCGCCGGCATGCCCCCCTTGCTAGCCGCTGGCTGGCTCAAGATTCGCTCCGACGTCAAGCTCGACGACCAGCTGTCGAAGCGCTACTCCAAGAGCGCCTCGATTGCCTCGGAAGCCGTCACCTCGATCCGCACCGTGTCGTCGCTCGCCATTGAAGAGGCCGTCATGAGCCGGTACACGCGCGAGCTCGACCACGCGGTAGCGGGCTCTGTGCGGCCGCTGCTCTCCATGATGATTTGGTTCGCCTTTACGCAGTCCATCGAGTACTGGTTCCTGGCGCTCGGCTTCTGGTACGGATGCAGGCTGCTGTCCTTTGGCGAGCTGTCGCTTTTCAGCTTCTTTGTCGCCTTTATGAGCGTCTTTTACTCTGGACAGGCCACGGCGCTGTTTTTTCAGTTTTCCACCAGCTTGACAAAGGGCAAGAATGCGGCTAACTACCTATTCTGGCTCCATGATCTCGAGCCCACCGTCAAGGAAACTAAAGAGAACAAGGACAATGGGCCCGGCGCAGCGAGACCAGTGGCGTTTGATAATGTGCGGTTTTCGTATCCCCTGCGTCCAGAGACGTCTGTTCTCAAAGGCGTAAATCTTGAGGTATGTAGAACCGCGGCGAAAAACATGTCCTTTCACCAACGTAACTGACCATTTTTGAAAATGATAGATTAAAAAAGGCCAATTCGCGGCTTTTGTCGGTGCATCCGGCTGCGGCAAGTCCACCATGATTGCCATGCTGCAGCGCTTCTACGACCCCTCGACCGGCAGCATCACCATCGACCACAAGGCGCTGAGCAGCCTCAACCCACGTCTGTACCGCCGCGCCGTCTCCCTCGTGCAGCAGGAGCCCACGCTGTTCCAGGGCAGCATCCGGGAGAACATATCCCTCGGCATCGACGCGCCCGACGACCAAGCCGCCTCTGGATCATCATCAGCTCCAACAACCGCTGCAGATGTGTCCGACGCCGACATTGAAGCCGCGCTGCGTGCCGCCAACGCCTGGGACTTTGTCGCGTCGCTGCCCGACGGCGTGCACACGGCCGCCGGCGCCAACGGCACGCAGCTATCGGGCGGCCAGCGCCAGCGCATCGCTATTGCGCGCGCGCTGATTCGGGATCCCCGGATCCTGCTGCTCGACGAGGCCACGAGCGCGCTCGACACGGAGAGCGAGCGTATCGTGCAGCGCGCGCTGGCAGAGGCGGCCCGGCGCGGGGGAGACCGCATCACCGTCGCTGTTGCTCATCGATTATCGACCATCAAGGATGCTGATATTATTTGTGTTTTTTATGGCGGACGCATCGTGGAGCAGGGCTCGCATGCGGAGCTGATTGCGCAAGGGGGCATGTATCGCAAGATGTGCGAGGCGCAAAACGTGGACTAAACGGCGGGGGCGCAACGGTTGCTGAACCTGGGCAAGGACTTAATTCTAGCTTTAGACTTTTTGAATTTCACACTATATTAATATAATTGAACTACGTTGGCGTCATTAATATTCTCTATGTAGGCATCAAAAGGTTACACATAACGTGTCTCGTAAGTTGACAGTCTTTAGGTATTGAACCCCGCCATCCCCGCCGCACTCGTCGCTGATGTCTGTATAAAGATATGTTTCTTGCAATCAAAGACGACAGGAAGGTCGAGAGGATTCGGTGCCACCAAGTTCCATACATGCCAGGAATAGGAGCTGAGCTTCGTCATTGTCCAAGAGCTCACACCTGGCCCTGGTTGCTCCTCATTCCACATCTCACCACCACAATAACTCCACGCTGAGCATATACAAACTCTCCAGATCTCGTCATGACTGCCAACCTCTCCTCGCTTGTATTCAGCCAATCCATTGGCATGTAGAAATGTCTCGTGGCGCCAGTCTTCTTGCCGCATGGAGAGCTGCACACCCAAAGGTCTTGGTCCAGGAACACGGCTTGGTTTCTGTACACACCCACGACACTGTCAAGCCGCAGATGATGCCAATTATTTGATTCTTGGAGTTTGATCTCAGCTGTGGTATCAAATCCCAAACTGCTCCAGGTGCTGCACTTTGTGACCGGATTGCGCTCCAAGGTGGACCATTCAATGACAATAGACCTTTTATCGTGGGTTAGATGGGCGAGAGTTTTGACCTTTTTATCGGCCCACTCAACAGCCAAATCGTGATCCAAAACAATGCCGTCTGTGCTTGTGAGTGTTTCAAACGTATCCCAGCTAAAAATTCTTGCCACTTGAAGATCCAAGCAGATAATCTGCTCAGAGCGGTGCGGGTGTTGAAGCCAGAATGGCAAGTTTTCAGGATGATCAAAAGCCGTCTGTAAAGTCTCTTGACCAGTATTTAAGTCGAAAAAGCTGTGCGCTCCGCGAAACGATGCGAGTAATCGGGTGCTATCCGGGCTAAGGAGCAGCTGTCTCACAGCGCCATTATTCGACTGACCGGGATAGAAGTCCTGCTGCCTCTCGCAGTTCCATTTCGTCGTCGATATTTGCTTTAGACGACTTACGATGAACCGTTGTGACGAGTCAATCGACACAAGAGTTGAACCATCAGCGGACCACTCCAGAACCTGAACGTCAAAAGTAGAGCCATGCGTGTACAACTGTTGCAAGACTCTCCCGCTTTGCGTGTGATAGAGTAATACATCGCCATTGCTTTTCCCGCAGCAAACAAAACTCCCGGTTGAATCACAGATCAGACTTGTGATATTTACCAAGGATGACGAGTCACCTGTGATGGTGCAACCTGTCCGGCTGAGCGTACTGTTCTCCGACTCGACTCCGCTCAGGGATGAGTACTCCCGAACACTGACCAGTAGTACCTCAGGGATCCAAACATTGCAATCTGATGCCCGAATATCGTAAAGCTTTGTACCGTCGGGACTGAAGCAAAGTCCTGTAACCATGTCGCTGTATTTGTCAATCTTGTAGAGAAGTTCCATGGTATCTGCCGCGAAAAACTTCAAAACACCACTTGAATCGCCCGTAACCAAGAGAGTACCGCTTGGATTACATACCGCAACACGGACGTCTAGACGAATTTGGGTTGTTGTTTGAGCCTGGATATCGTATCGTATCATAGTGCTGTCATGATCCACCACATAGATGTCGTTGCTGGACGGATTGAAACATGATCCAAGAGGGTTACGGGTTGGTACACTCTCAACAATCTCCACTCGGTCGACATGCCACACCTCGATGGGCCATCCCTTGTATGCGAGGCTGACCTTGGTGGTGTCCTTGTCAAAAGCTACCCCCCACGGCCATCCGCGATACTTGCCGTGCACAGACTGTCGTTCAAGCCGTGATTCAGTTGCACTGTTTTGCCGAAGATCCCATATTGCAATAGAATCATTTGATGTGAATATGACGACGCATTTGCTGTCAGGCCGGAAAGCAGCACCCAGGCATCGCGATCTTCCCGGATTTGCGAGCTCTGAAACCATTTCCCCCGTCTTGGTTCTCCAGGTCTTCATGGAGCGAAGATCACCAGTGACTATGTATTCGCCAGTGCTGTTTATGTGAAGAGCAACAATACGCTCTCCATGGCTGAAGCGGCGAAGTTCCTGACAGGTCTCTGCGTCATACACTATTGCAGTCCCTGTACTGCCGGACAGTGCCACCACTAGGTATGTGGCGCCGCAGACGAGGAACTTACATAGTCCGCCGTCGCGTGCCACCGTAATGTGTGCCAGACAATCGTCCCAGTGCTTATGACCAGCACCAACGATGCTGATGTCACCAGCTGCGCCAAATTGCGAGCCAATCTGAGTCTTGACTGGACAAAATGGCGGCAGAAGCTTGTGGATTGAAAATGGATATGACACAATGTTTCTTCCATATTGCGGTGCGATGCGAACTAGATCGACTGCCCATCCAGAGACGAGTCGCTTATTCGCGTTACTGATCAACGGGGACTGCACCATTAATGTCTCCAAACCAAGAGCTCCAGCAGTGAGGAGCGACAAGTCGCCAAGTAGTCCTGCGACCTCGACCCAAGATAACACTGACGTGCGCAGGAAGTCGCAGATGGTCAGCTCTAGTGGCTTATCAATGGCGGCGTTTTGAAGGTGGTCAAACCATGAGGTGGCAGAATAATACAGCAAAGGATGAATAGCATTCAACTCGGCGACGCTGCGGGGATGTCGAAGACTGCTGCTGATTGGGGAAGCAAAAGTGTCCTCAGTCCAGACGCCCAGACAAATTCGCGTCAAATGATGATGAGCCTGGAGGCTATCCACCGAGAATTCCGAATCTTGGCATTGCAATAAGAATTCTCTCACGGTCTCATGAATAAGCTGGACTATACCGGAGTCTTTGTCCACCTTGATGAGATGTGGGCATACTTGTTTGATTGTGTAGTCGAGACTGGCCAGTCTCCCGAATGTAGGATGTAAAGCGGCTTGCAGCTCCAGCGTCCCCAGCGGCCGCATTGCACAGACTGTGCTACCCAGTATCGCCTTGGCAATTTTCTTATTAATTTCACGCATGGCAGACATGCCGTCTAGAATCTGTTGAAAGAAATTGGCCATCTCGGAAGGCATCGCCTCCAAGGCTTCGTACACACCTTGAAGCGTGTGAGCGGTCGCTTGAATTTCTTCCACGGCGAACCGAACCCACAAAAAGATTCCTTGGGACTTTGCAACAAGGAGTTCAACTATCTGGCTAATCTCGTTTGGGTCAAATGGAAGCGATTCCAGCTCGTGTCGAGCATGAGCTGCCATATCGTCCTTTGTGTCAGCGGGTTCAATTTCTTGTTGGTGCAAAGCTTGCTTCGGTACACTAATTGTAAAGATGTGATTAGAAACCGAGAGTGGTCGACGATTGGTACCACATGACTTACGAGGTCTGTAGACTGCGTTTGATGTCCATGTCAACTCTAGATGTGATGAGAATGTTGATCGGAGTTTGGGAGTTGATCTTGCCGATGAGCGATATCAATTCTGATGGCGCATCAGCCTCGTCAAGGGCATCGATGATCCAGTACCATTGACTTTCGGCAGAGCTCTTGATCTCAAAGAGGGTATCGATGAATATTTTCTGCCAGAGGACTCGTGTGGGCATGGAGTGAATCTTTGCTTGTTGAGCATCAATGTCCATCAGCTTCTCGTAGAACTCGAGTGAGTGCATTGACATCTGTGCTATGAGAGACAGCAAAAATGAGCGCGTCGTTCTGCCAGTAACATTGTTACGACGAAAAAAGTAGAAGGCAGTGAGCAGGTGCTTTGAATGCAACTTATCGATAACAGCGCTGACCAGGACTGACTTTCCGGCGGCAGGAGGTCCGTAGAGCCATAGATACCGGCCTGGCCGTGTGGAGTTCCGATCTGCCCACCATTTGAAAGAGCTCTTCTCAAAGATCCATTGACAAGAGTCCGCGACAACTCTATTGTCGCGAAAGAAGAGCAAATTTTCTCCACTGGTATCGTCTTGGCCCAATATTTTGGACAGTTGTTTCGCTGCAAGATTGGGTCTCCTGCTGATGCTTGCATGCCTGGCTCCAGATCCAACAGTATATCCTGGCGGATGTCCGTCATCCAACGGCGCTGAATCTGGAGCCGGAATGGCCTTTGGTATATTTTGGACCCTTGTTTCGATGAGGTGTACCAATAGATTCTTTATCGTCTTGTAGCCTGGAGCTCCTCGGGACTCGAATTTGCAAATCATGCGATGATCTCCTTCGATTCGTGAGGATCCTTCATTGTCATATCCAAGAACAGCGGTATCGCGGTCTACAAGAACCTATAAATTTCTTTCATCAGTTGCATGCTTACGTGTTTGGGCCCAATCCGGCTAGGGGAATATAACATACTGCGCTGCGGCCAGCTCCTATGGAGGTCGGTCGATTTTCGTACAAAGACCATAAGCACACGTCTTTTGCATAGTGCCTAAAATCTTCATTGATCGCTGATATGCTCATGGATTCGCGTTTCAATTCCTCAACAAACTGCTTTGACCCAATGGTCGCAGATAAAATAGCGTGAAGCTTTGCAGCATTTTCAGAGCCGCGATGGGGAGTTCCTAGGAAGATCATAGCTCCTCGAGAAATGGATTTGCCCACCTCTGTATAGGTGCTGTCGCGTGCTGCCATCATATACGCCTGCGAAACATGAATAAGCAGCCTTTCGTTACCAGTCGACTTTCAGGACAATTGTCTACCTTCTTAACGACAAGTCCACCCATAGAATGTGAGACAAATATTATCGGCGCATCCGAAAGTTTTGCGGTTAGGAGATCGAGCAGGAGGGACTTTGCAAAGTCGGAAATGGTACACAACTTGGACGCCGTGGCCTGAATTTCCGCTGCGTATCCAAACATGTAAATACGTATCCTTTCCATACCTGGCTCGTGGGGGAGCCAATCTCGAGGCCAGAACTGGATGGCAACTTAGTGGCCGACTTGCTTGTGGGTGGACTTGATTACCCACCGTATCACCTTGCTTTGATGGGTACCGCCATGTCTTCACAGGATGTCCACCAAGTCCATGGATAAACACTATCGTAGCTTCTGGCTCTGTAACATCATGCGTGACCTCACTTATTCCAAATCTGCTCAACTCGAGTCTGTCATCCGAGGCTGGCTCGGCTGGCTCGGCTGGCTCGGCTGATCGAAAGCGATGAAGCAAGCTGGTGATACGCCGAGACGATCGCGCCGGGGCACGCATGAGATGGGAAGCCATCGCCCCCGAGCCACGTAAGAACCACTGATAAAAGTCAATATGATCTGGAATAATTCCGAACAAATTTGCCAGTGCTCCTGTCAAGTGTTTGGAACTGGCGGGGAGTGAGTATATGGAGGCTTGAGTAGGGGAAACCGTATTGGAAAAGCAATAGGGCCGGCCTATCCCATCAGCCCTCATGCAGACCAATATTATACCCCCGCATGCCTGCTCCATGGGGAGAAGATCTTACCATGGTGGATTGGATGACTCCCCAGGGCCGGCCCGCTGCACCGCATCAGGGTAGCCTCGTGGGCGGTTAGAGGGGCCTTCCGAATGGACGGAAGCCGCTGCGCATGACAGCTGGCGCTGCCTTTGCAGCCTGTGGCTTGATTTCAGCTTTTGTATTATTATAACAGGGGTAACCAGGTCATGTGCACTACACGTGCTAAACCAAGCAAACTTGTCGGCTGTGATTAAGTCGTGGCTTGGTTTTCCCGTCCCCTGTAAAAACTTGACGCCCAGTGAAGCCAGTAGAACGATTCATCTCTCGAACTCCTTGGAAGGGTACTTTTTCGCTAGATACTTCATGTTTGAGATCATTCTGTTTACAAAAGTGTTAGAAGAATGCCGTTTCATCATTGCATATCAGTTTGCGTACTCCTTCTTAGTGTCCTTGAGCCCAGAAAGCATGATACAAAAGTGAAGGTCAAATCGGAGTTCATAGAGCATGATTCGGTCCTCAAACTCGGTCGCTGGGTGACAAGGAGGAACCAAAGTCTTGTACACATCAAGGTACCTTGTATTGAGAAGATTTCGGGCCGGTCTCCAATTTCCGAGTTCGTACTCGTTGTGGGCGTAGAATGCCGCGGCATCAAAGATGACGGGCTCACCTGTATCGAGATTCGTAGAACAATTGCCAAACCTTTGAACGTCAATAGAATGTTTTTTTTTCTCAAAGTCAGGCAAGAAACACACCAGAGATCGCCATGCACAAGTGCCGGTCGAATACGGTTGGGACCTTGTTCAAGCGGCCCAAGTAGCCGCGGAATAACGAAATCAAAGATGGGCTGCATCGCCTCCACGAGCTCTGGCTGCTCGCCATTGACTTTGACATCCATTGCAAGCATGTACCGTAGACCATCAGCGAAGAAAACTTGCCAAGACTCGTTCCAGGTGTTGATCTGCGCAATATTGCCATTGCAAGTCGTGACGTGGAAGCCAAACTGGCCAGTCGGGCTGACACTTTCGCGGTGCATCTTGGCTAGCTTCGCGCAAAGCTTTTCCGGATCGGGTATATCCCCTTTTGCCATCTTTATAAACGTGGAGAGGAAAAAAAAGAGGTCGGGGGTATCCTTGCACCGGCCCCAGGTGATGGGCTGGGGCGAAAAGTCCGGCATCGTTTGATTGATGGCACTCATGCCTTCGAATTCGCCCTTGAACATTGCCTTGCCCAATTCTCCAGAGGCTGTCTTCAGAAAAAACGCACACTCTTGACCAGTGTCGGAAACTGCAGTGATTTTGGTCGTCTGTGTCCAGAGTGATGACCCATAGGCTGTAGCCTCTACAAAGTGACAACCGGCTGGTAGAGCTGAAGCGAAAAGTTTAGCATCAGTCGTAGGTAATGGAGGGAGGAAAGGAATATCGGAAGAGTTGAGTACTTGCCAGCTTTGATGTTTTGGTCAATTTCAATGCGTTGGCCATGGACGGGCTTTTCTAGAGGTGTAGACGACGTTGAAGGTGTAGAGCGCGCAGTTTGAGAAAGTTCAGCTACGCCGGTGTCGCTGCGATTCGAAATGTCAGTCTGCTCGATAACACCATATTTCGACGGCGTTGATGAAGGCATGGTCGACAATGGAGCTAGCATTGGCGTGTCCATCTCGGAGAATATGCGCTGCTGGTTTGGTTTGTATCGTAACGCTGACAGCTGTTTGCCGCCTCCGTCTTCATTACAGGCTGAGCTGTGTTCCGGCTTGGAAGACTGCTGTCATGCTGCAGAAAGTGCCGTAAAATGGTACAGAACCAGTGTCAGATTAAAGTCTCAACTCTAGGTTGTCTAATTGTGCGTTGAGCGCCTCTTTGGCTTTTCCGGCCCGGTCATTCCCTTTCCTTCTTTTGACAGCAATTGTCGCAGGGGTACGTCAGCAGTCTGCGGTGTATATTTTTTGGGGGTGGCTGGCCACGTGAGGCGTTGTGCCCCTCACAGCGTCCTTGATCACTGGCATACCTATTTGGTTTCTGTCACACATTATTTTTATTGCTGCTGCTTGTTTTTAACATTTTTGGCGTCAATGGCTTAACCGCCAACACTATGTCCTCTACACCAGGCTTGCCGCGTCTCTTGTCGGCTAACCAAGTCGTTACCACTATGAGAGCCTCCATCGCCATGGTCAAGGCAGCGCAGGACCGCGTAGTTGACTCGGTCAAGCTCACAGACGCTTGTTTCGACAGCGTGATGCTACCGTGGGCCATAGCCGAGAACCAAGCTCAAACTGCCCGAGGTATAATCGAGCTGTTAAAGTATGCGTCTCCAGACCCAGCCATCCACGGCGCAGTGGCCGTCGCCACGACGCTGGAAGAAGAAGCCGAGGCTGTCTGGTTGCGACGAGCCGACCTGTTTAAACTCGTCAAGGCTACTTCCGAGAAAAATGAAACGCTGGACGTGGAGTCTCGCCACTATCTCAGAGACAAAATGCAAAGATTTATCGATGCCGGCCACGAGTCTCTTGGTGACGATGGGATCAATCGCTTTCTTGAGATCAACAATCGCATCGAAGAACTGGCCAAAGCGTATAATAAAGCACTAATTGAAGAGCGACCGGGTGCCTGGTACTCCGCAAAAGATGAGCTTCAGGGTCTATCGGCACGTGAATTGAGTGGATGGAAAGCTGGCCAAGGAGAGCAACAAGGACTTCTCTACGGTCCTCCCGCCAACAGCGGCTTGCTCAAAGTGCTGCCATATCTCGACAACCCAACCACTCGTCGCAAGATGTACCTGCAGGATCGAAAGGGACTGGCTGAGAATGCCAAGATTTTTCACGAAATTGTAATCCTGCGTGACGAGAGGGCTAGGCTCATCGGTTACGACAACCACGCCGCCATGCGCATAAAGACCCGAGCTATACGGTCTCTTGAACAAGTTGAGAGCTTTTTGGGCGATTTGGAAAAGTCTATCATTCCAAAGGGGGTGCAAGAAATTTCCCAGCTTCAGTCTATACGAAGAGAAGATTGCAAAAGGTGGGGAGTGTGGGAGGAAGGTGACGACAAGGGTTTCCCTCCGTGGGATCTGGCATACTATCGAACGCAGCAAATGAAGGCCGCCGGTGTGGATGACGCCAATGTCGCTCCTTTTTTCCCCCTTGATACAACAATAAGTAAGATGCTAAAACTGTTTGAGTCCTATTTGAGCTTGCGATTCAAGAAGATACCAGACTCGCGGCTCGACGAGTCCACCCTTTGGCATCCGACTGTCCAGGCGTGGGAAACGTACAGAGAAGAAAGCTTCGTTGGATATCTATATCTAGATCTCATTGCGCGCGATCACAAATACAAAGGATCCCAATGCGTCAATATTCATTGCGTAGGTCCTTCATTATGATATTGTATTCTTGATGCTGATGAACGCTAGGGCTATGAGAAGCAGGACGGCTCTAGACAGCTACCCGCAACCGTGCTGATGTGCAGCTTTCCAGCACCAACAGAATCCAGCTGTGCGCAGCTTCGCCACCCAGAGGTTGTCACATTATTCCACGGTATGTGTAACGTCGAGTATGCTTTGTTCATAATTTTTGACTTGGTGCAGAACTCGGCCACGGCATCCACGATCTCATGGCGCGAACCAAATATGCTCACTTTCACGGCTACCACCTGCCGGTTGACATTGGTGAAATGCCGAGCACACTGCTGGAGAATTGGTGTTGGACAAAATATGTCCTGAGGCATTTGAGCTGTCACTACACGAAGCTGGATTCAAAATATCTGCAGCAGTGGAGACAGGACAATCCAAACTCCCCTGATCCGGCCGAGAAGATAGATGATGACACTCTCGATAGGATTATCAGGATCCGAAACATTAATCGTGGTCAATATCACCTTTACCAATTGTACGTAACCACAATGCTTGCGCGAAATTATGATACTAATGGAATAAGTAGAGCTATCTCGGTATTCGATCTCAAAATACACGCTGCCAAGTCCCACGAAGAGGCACGGTCGCTCAACTTGTCCAAACTATGGTATGACTGCCGTGAGCGGTACGAAGCAGTGGACTGTTCCGAAGCGAGACAATCCGACCATGAACACGCTTCGTTTGGGCATCTGCTAAACGGCTATGACGTCGGATACTACGGCTATCTCGCCTGTGCTGCGTTTGCCAAAGATGCCTTTTACTCACAGTTTGTCGACGACATCAACGACAAGCAAACATGGGGACGGTTCGAACAGTACGTTCTGAGGCCAGGCGGTAGCCTCGATAATCAGCTACAGATGATCGACGACTTCCTTGGCCGCAAGCCCAACTTTAATGCCTTGGCAGAAAGCCTCTTTGTCTGATCATTCTTCACGTCTCTATGCTTATTCTCGAAATGGTCAAATACTTTCGTTTTTCTTATGCTATAACGTCATCGGGCATCCACTCGTGGGCCACACCACACCCCCTTATAGGCCACCTCTTCCTACTAAAAAATATAAAAATGTACCTTTTTCTGAATAGATTTTATAGCCCTACTATATATAAAGTAATTATATAAAACTAGTAGTAAAGCTAATAAAAGCTTACGTTATAATATTTTGGTTTTTTTAATATATAAAGATAAATTCTTATGGGCCAGCAGCAAATTCGATGCGAATCGAATAAACCCGATATAGATTCGACATTCGTAAGACTTGGCATCGAATGAATCTATCGATTCGATTCGCATTCGATAGATGTCCAACCCTGTACACAACGGTCCTCAACTCCTTCACCAGTACTCTACTCCGAGCTAGGAGTGCCGCGCTATTGAGCCACCTTACAGAGGGGTGTTAGGCCCGCATAAGTTCCATGGTCCGAATTGAGAAAGACACCGATGATAGTGGGGAGAAAAGGAAACCCAAGAAGCGGCTTCCCGAGAGTCTCGAAGATAGCCTTGATCGCTAGCTCGAGGAAGGTTGTCGTCGATCTGGAACACTTTGAAGACTCCCGTTCGAGGCATCGGTACGTGGTATCCGATTGTGGCTCATGCGCAGACTCCCAATATTCACCACGCGGGTGCTGATACCCAAGAAACATGGGGAGAGCATGAGGTACACCGTCTAATTGGAGGGGATGCATTAGTTGACTAATTTGCACAAGGTAAGGAAATCATGGCTTACCTTCGGCATGGGTGACCCTGTTGTACGACCCTGCCTCACTGTCGCTGGCCTTGGATAAGCTGTCGATGTAATCGGCAAATTCCCGATTTCCAACCCTTGGCTGGCCGTACGTGTAGGCACCCGTTGTGTTAAAGGGCCCGTTCTTCAGTCTCGCAAAGGCCAGGTTCGCAATGGCGCCGCCCAGCGAGTGGCCGCTAATCACCACGGAGAACCCGGGGTTCTGCTCGAGCGCCAAGGAGACGGCGTCGATCACTTGGCCCTCGATGGAGTTCCACGCCAGCAGGAAGCCCGCGTGGACGAGGCAGGTGCCGGGGCAGCGGATCGACGGCGAAATGTACGGTATGGGGAGAACCTCAATGTCCGTCAGCGCATCCCTCAGGCCGTTGGTCCCCGGGATGCCGATGATGATTTCCCGCGTGCTCTTCCGCAGCCACACTGCGGCTTGGGTGTCTGTGCTCTGTTGGTTTATGTAGCGGACGAGGGTCACGCTGCAGTTCGCGTCCAGAGCCGCGCTGCCAGGGTCGGTTGCGCTCATCGTTGGAAAGGCGGCGTAGTCCACCAGCTTCTTGTAGACGGCGGGGTCGACTGATACATGATGTTAGTACTTCGGCTTGCCTGTCTCGATATCACCCGGGGGATTATACCAGTTGTTCTTTCCTGTCGTTTCAGCGGGGTTGCCGCGGCTAGGGCGGCAACAAGGCCGAACAGAAGCATCCGAGGACCCATTGCTGCTACCAGAACTCCAGCGGCGTGCAAGAAATGGCAAAAGAGGCTCACAGGAGAAGATCAGGGTGCGCAGTCGGTAAAGAGCAACGGTGCCGCTACATAGCTGCTTTATATAAATCCATTTCTCGTATACAGCCATCACATCGTACGTCGCAGCACCGCCCAATTCAAGAGGAATAGTCCGTGCAGTCAGTGCGCACCGCTGCGTCTAAGCTTAATAAGATACAGCTCAAATATTACCTAGAAACAACAACGCTATATAAGGTTACACATGTTGGATTCCATTAATGGTGCCTGGGCCCAAATATATGCTAATGAAAAAAAAATAATACTCATACCATTACATAGACAGATGTATATCCAACTGTGTAGGTAGCACGGAAGATCTCTCGCACGTTTTCTCTGAGCCAATTAAAGGAGTCAATTAAAGCCTCACCACTAACAAGAGATGGGAATCGCTAAGCCTAATAGGGCTAGCATATTTCTGATGGCGTTAGGGGTTCAAGGGGGTGACAAAAAAGCTAGCCCAAGGCGTCCGCATTATACTTAACGAAAGGTGCATGGAATAGAAAATAATAGAAAATATTTAAGAAGCTAATGAAAAATACAAGAGATGATTTGGACACTAAAATTTAATCTCGTCTTTATTTTAGCTAGATAGACATTTTCTAGGATTTATTAAGAATTATTTAAATATAGGCAGCTAACCTTCAGTACTCCCACTGTAGGCCATTTTTTTCTCACCTGCGTGGGGGTTAGGCTTTAATTAGCTCGAGGAGCGTGCAAGAAAATTGGAGCAGACTATTTGTCTGGCAGATAGTCTAAGACCATTAGACCAGACTGTCAGATCAGACCATCAGGCCAGTCTGGCAAACATAGACTAGACTAACAGTCTGTCTGAGGAGCGTGGACTGGGCTATTAGGAGCGCTGACCCAGCCTCGTACAGCCTCGCACAATATCCCGGAGACATCCAGAGGAACTGGTACCTGCTGAGAAGCACGCACGTACTTCAGCTCTTTTACTGATACGTTACAAACCAATCATGAGTTCGAATAGTCACCAAAAGATGAAAAGGACAAGGGAAGAAGACCCATGTTCATTCGCTTAGCATTCTTCATCCACAAGACAGAAATATATTGATGTAATGGAGCTGATTTTGGCCCGTTTGCGGGCGGACGCCACGCCGAATCCAGAGTCCAAATGTTCAACCCCATCTTTTGGCCAGATGCCACGGCTACGCCAAACGCCCGGCTGGCGTTGGCTGTCGTTTCTCAAACCTAACGCCATGTCAGATCCAAAATGGATCTATTTATTTTGGGCTGCATCATTTCTCGTTTTTTCCGTCTCAAGGCTGCCAAGACTCAAGTATTTGTTGGAGAAAGAAATCCCCCAGCAGCTTGGAAGGCTCTCCTTCTCCCTATACCTCATTCAAGGACCGATTCTTTGGACAGTTGTTCCTACCCTTGACTACCTGCTTGAATGGGATGAAAATTACGTCATGAAGCAGAATGGTCTTACAAGCCTTTGGCCCCTCGGAATGGAAGTTGGATTTCTGTTGGCACAAGCGATTTTGTTGCCAATTTCGTTGTGTTCTGCGCATCTGCTAGAAGAGATCCTCGAGCAGCCTCGCAACAGGTTGCTGCAGTACTATTCCCTCACGATGTTCAATATTCAGGCCAATAGCAACGTCAAAAATCAATGGCTCGACCAATTTTATTCTCATTAGATCATTTATTGTCAACTCCGTGTAGAGATCTTGACAAGATATTATTTTTCAACAGCGCAAGATGGGCTCTCGTAAAACATGAATTTACCAAGGAAGGAGCAATTCAAATGGTTCCTGTGCTCACATTTTGGTCGTCGGCTGTTGTTGAAGCCAGCAGAGCAGTGGCCACCATGTCGTCGGTCATATCATACTTGACAGTCTTGAGGTCTGCCTACATCTGTCGGACTTGGTTGGCGCAGTGTGGCTAACAGACAGACCGACTGACAGACCGACTGAGTCCGTCTGACAGACTTCAGACTGCCAGACCGGCTATTCTCGTCAAACCGTCAGACTGGAGGCCGGTCGGTCTGGGGCGGTCTGAGTCGGTCAGGGTTAGCCTCATCGGGCAACTGTGTGCACCGTAAACTGTCTCATCAGTGCCACCACTGGTCAGCCACGCTATGGAAACGAACCTGACGCGTCTGCATTGCTAGGAAACAATTGCAGCATTCGCGTCGTGCTCTGTAAATCACATCAATATCCGAATCATGAAATCCTCCAGCAGGACGCCGAGTCTCGTGTCATCTATACCACAGTCTCTTGTGTTCGCTCTACCTTAGACCTCGACCGATGCCGAGGGCAGCAACGGCACATGGCCTTAGCCTCTGAGGCTGCCTTGGGTTCACTCTCACAACCACCCTATGTCTCCATTGCAACAGGAACGCGTTACACCAAGTCTTGTCGACGAAAAAAAGCCTGACGAATGTTCATTCCTGATCTGCATATAGGATCAGGTCCTAACAATGGGTAGTCATCATGTCTATTTTGCTACAAATTATCACTTACCTGATACTCGTATCCATTTATGATTCTGCCTCTTGTGGCAGCGCCACAAGGGAGAGTTGAGAGTCAGGTCCTTCACCTCAACATCTTTTGGCCAAACAAGATATTCTGAACCAAGCACATGATCTTGATCTTGTGTAACGTAGGATCAAAGTTGCTCCAATGCCGAAGAGGAGAATGGCCAACGACATGCACTAAGGAAGGGCCGGGCATAACGACTCCACCGCCTGCAGCCTGGGTGCACCACCAAGCAACCACACCTGCGATATCACTGAACTAGTTGAAAGTGCTTGCCTTCTCCCCTGATTTATAGACAAAGCAAACAGATCTAGAGCGTCGAAATGTCTCATAGCGCGAGTTTTTCAATCGGTACCAAAGGTGCAAGAATCCCCGCCATGGGATTTGGTACTTTTCAGCCAGACGACAACCCCAAAGAGGGCGTAACAGAGGCCGTGTTGCGGGCGCTCGAGGCGGGGTATCGACATATCGACACGGCGTGGAATTATGGTAATGGAGAGGCCGAGCGAGGTGTTGGTGAAGCTCTGAGAAAGTGGAACGGCAAGCGTGAGGAGGTTTTCATCGTTACTAAGCTGTGAGAAAGATGTGTTCTTTCACTTTTTGTTCGAAACTAATCCCATGGGCTAGGGCCAACCCCCATCACAAGTCAACAGACGTCGAAGCGGCCTTGGAGCTCAGCCTCGAGAATCTTGGCTTAGACTATGGTAAGGAATTAGACACCCTGAAATAAACTTGAGTAGAGTCTCAGACTTTTACAGTCGACTTGTACTTGATGCACAGTAAGAACGTCACCATGCACCACCTTGATGATGATGCTAAACAGTCATAGCTCCCGTCGCATACGAACGGATTGGCAAAGGCAAATCTGAATGGTTGACTGCTCGGCATCCTGACGGAAAGGTATTTCAACATTTACTCTCCGTTACCCAGATCTTGTGTTGAGAGAAGAATGCAGCCGAAACTCGACATGGCAACGACCCAGCGTTACGATTTGACTTGGAAAGCCATGGAGCAGCTCGTCAAAGCTGGCAAGGTCAAGCACATAGGTACGTAAAAGAAATGCCAATGATGGTCAGAAGTTGACGCTTGAAGGGGTTTCCAATTTCAATATCCGAAAGGTTCAAAAGATCCTCGACACGTGCACAATCAAGCCGGCCGCGAATCAGGTCGAAATTCACCCGTAAGTCAGACATTACCCACGTGAATCAATGGATCTCTACTGAAAATTCTATCCAGTTACCTTTTAGAGTCTGATTTGATCAAATTTTGCAACGAGAATGGCATCCATGTTACTGCATTCTCTCCCTTGGGTGGCGTGCCTGATGCTGCTGTGGCTGCCAATGCGGACGTCCCGGGACCGCTACACAATGAAGTGGTACGTCACCTCAAAGATAGAGCGGCGATCCTTGTAGGCTAATATGTATTTCAGATTATATCCATTGCTGAGAAACATGGCCTTTCTCCAGCTCAGGTGCTTTTGAAATGGGGCTTACAGCGAGGCACAAGTGTGATTCCGAAAGCGTTCACCCCCTCCCATATTACTGACAATTTTGCTGTCTTGGCACTTGAAGACCTTCCCGATGAATACGTTACCGCAATCAATGAGATTAGGAAAGATGAGGGTGAGGTCAGGTTTATCAACTATCTTTCTCACTGGGGGTTTGACATTTTCCGCCCAGGGCCTGAGGATCCCACTGAGGAGCCCTAGATTGTTTACCGCAGAGCATCCAAGGGTAGATTATTAGGTACCTAGGTACTGATCATAGATTATTAAACTTGGAATTTCACGGCATTTTGAGGCTCTAAACTGCGGCTATTGACTGCTGGAAAAGTCAACAAGACAGGCGCGCGCTGTCCTCTGAATATCATTTAATAGCGGCCTCACCCACTGTAATCATCAATTACCTTACCTTAGTTACCCCGCCATTTTAGCGGCGCCGTTCAAACCCCACCAAAACCTCCAAATTTGGCCCGTCTCAACCTTGCAAACACCACCAGTCAGTGACTCAACCAAAAGTTTCGTTTCTTCTTTCGCTATCTGTCCTGCTATTACTCCTGCGTCGAACCAGCTTCTCTGGTGCATCGCGCATTCTCCCTGAATAACAGCCATCATGGCGACCAACGCATCAGCCGGTACGACGCGCACCCCTCTATTTCGCCTCGCCCTGCGCAGTCGGCGCTGACTGACCATGGACAAAATGCAGATGGCGGCGGCAGCACAACATTGCCCTTGCGCAAGCAGCCCAACCCAACTGATTTCGAGTATGCCACACCCCTCAACCCACCACGGCGTTTTCATCTGACCTCTCCGCAGTATCGTATCGACATACCGCAACCTCCTTGCCCAGGATTCCGACCTGACAAAGCCCGTTGCTGCGATTGAGTCGCTCATCGAGTTGCTCAACTCTGTGCCCTCGACAACCGTCTACGAGACACTCGACACGGTCAAGGCCCACTGCGACCGTCTCAAGGCCTCGGTCGAGAACCCCGTCCCGCTCACCGCCGGCACCGACCTCTTTCTGCAATACCTCATTGCCTCGCTCAAGCAGCCGCAGCAGCAGGACGGCGGGCCGAGCAGCTTCGACGCCGTGCGCCAGCACCTCCTCCGCAACGGCCGGCTCTTTGCCGCCCGCGCCATTGCCGCCCGCGCAGGCATCGCGGAAGCCGGCTGGCGCTTCGTCACCGAGGGCAAATCCGTCCTCGTCCACGGCAACTCGCGCTCCGTCCTCGCCGTGCTCGAGCGCGCCGCCAAGAACGGCGCCGGCAAGTTTCGCGTCGTCTACGTCCGCGACTCGGCCCGCGCCGACGAGAGCAATGCCGTCGTCAAGGCTCTCCGCAGCAAGGGCATACCGGTGGCGGAGATTCCGGGCGCCGCCATTGCCCACACCATGGGCCTGCTGCGGCAGGTCGACATGGTGATTGTGGGCGCCGAGGCGGTGGCGCAAAACGGAGGCATCATTTCGAGGATTGGCACGTTTCAGATTGCGCAGCTGGCGAATCGCGCGCATATCCCGTTTTATGTCGCGGCCGAGACGCACAAGTTTGCGCGCAAGTTCCCGCTAGACCAACGGGATATTGGCTTTGAACAAAAAGTTCTCGACTTTACGACTGACGGATCTAGCAAGCAGCCCGTGGATGCTGTTGATTATACCGTGAGTTGCCCAAGACGCCATTGTTACCCAAAATTTTTTTTTTCTGACCATTTCAGCCTCCGGAGCTCATCTCCAACCTCATTACCGAAAACGGCGTCCACCTACCGAGCTACGTATTTGAACAGCTACTAGAGATTTACGGCAGCCTGAATAATTAAGCGAGATGCATATAGAACAGGGAAAAAAAAATTACAAACTACAATGATTGTTTATGCACCAAATCATGGGAAAGAAATTGAGCAACGTCGCATCCAGTGCCGGCGCAAAGTTGGAATATCTTGGGGGGCGTTACAGAGTATCAGAAAAAGTCTGTCTCTCCATATACCACATTACGACGCGGGACAAAACTAGTCTCTTAAAAGAGCAAATACACAAAAAAAAAAAAAACAGAATACCAAAGCCCTTCACACACTCACATGTCCCCGAATTAGTTGACGGTGGCTCGGAACCATAAGACGTCATACCGGGACTTGGACAGCGTCGCGGACAAGTCGAGCACCAGCCCACGCGTAGGGATAGTTGTGCTGGTACCAGTTGACAAAGCTGCGACGGCCGGCGATGCGCGGGTGCGTCGCCCACGAGCCGCCGAGCACAATATTATGCTTGCCGTCGAAAAAGTCAGACGTGTACGCCGGATACAGCGCCATGGGCTCAAAGCCCTCGTGCCGAGTCAGCACCGAGCTCGTCCACTCCCACACGCCGCCCATGCCCGCCTGGCCGGCCAGCGTGTCGCCGCTGGCCGTGACGGGCTGCGGGTGCCACGTCTTGAAGCCGACGTTGGCACCGTCGAGGTCAATGTACAGCGAGGCGGCGCCGCCGCCGCTTTCGCCTCCATTGACTGCTGCTGATGCGGCGGCCCCATTTGGCGGTGTCTCCTCGACGCCATCGTTGACCAAGTGACTAGAACGCATAAAAACTGTTAGCGGCATGTGGCCCATGAGGATGCAATGCAGGTGTTGTTTGTTGTTGTATAAAGACGACTTACGCATTGACTGCAGGTACCCTATTAGAGAGCTTGCTGTGCATCGAGGCCTCCTTTTGCTTCTCCGCAAAAGTGTAGATACTCTTGGCCTCCTCCATGGTCGGGATTCTGCCGCCCATCCAGGCGGCGCAGCCAGCCAATTCATCGTAGGAAGCGGCTACGGGCCAGTCCAAGGCGTACTTGAGAGGGACGAGGCCATAGACGGTGCGCACAGCCTTGTCCTTGAGGTACGGCTGCATAGGGTACTCGGAACTGGCGCCGTTGAGGAGGGGGCTGCCGTTGTTGGCTTCAGCAACAATGGACCAAGAGGATGGAATAGCGCTGTTTTTGGTGCTGTAGAGATAATCGGCATACTGCACCCAAAGGTTAGAAGGCTCCGCATAGATTTCCGAGTTGGAAAAGGAGGGTGTGGGGGAGTTTTGCTCACGTCTTCGTTGGTGATGGGCCTCGCCTTGGCTTGAAAGGCATGCACCTTTTCCTTCCTCTCTGGCTTCTCGTTATCCCATCCAAAATTGACAGTCGGATCAGTGCCGTCCTCGGGATCATTCATGCCAATGACGACAGTCTGCTCGGGAACATCCACCCAAGCATTCGGAACGCGTGCACGTCTAGCCGCTGCGCTCAGCGTCGCGAAATCGGGCATGGGCGTGTGCGGCGGCGGCAGCGTCTTGTCGCTCTGCAGCATCATGTACAGTAGCGTCTCGATATGCATAATCTCGTGCTCAAACGCGACCCAGATGCCGCGCGCGACGCTGCGGGGCATCTTGTCCAGGCTGCCATTGTCCGTGTCGGCGTAGAGCTTCTCCAGACGGGCGCGTACGCGGCCTTGATACGCCGTGATTTCCTGCACGGGCGGCCACTCCTCGGGGACCTCGGAGTGGTCGTGGCAGCGCTCCGGGTTGTCCACATCGGGGTCGATGCCGCGCTCAAAGATGGCTCGGTAGGCGGCGGGCTCGGTGGCGGCTTCGTTGGTGACCTTGGACAGCTGAATGTCGAGAAAGGTGGGGATGTGGCCGAGGTAAAAAATGCAAGCGTTGCGCAGCTTGATGGGCTTTTCCTGGAGCTCCTGGTCGGGCAGCATGCCCTTGGTGACGATATCCCAGACTTGCCAGAGGGCTGACCAGTCGTTGAGTGTGGGCAGAACGCTTCCATACTGTGAAGGAAGAGAGCTGAATGGAAGATCAGTCTTTTGAAGCAGATGGAGACCTGTACAGAATACTTGTCAGTGACGAGTATGAGCATGCCAAATAAAACCGTTCATGCGCCTACCATAGTCGTCGCCACGTCGCCAACGCTTGACCTCCTTCAGACCAGCAGTGCGCCACAGCTTCTCACCGCCAACCTGGGAGTACTTGAGACTTTGCTCGATTTTTAATCTCTCGGCCTGCTTGATGGTTGTTCCAAGGATATTGACTTCCTTGGTGGGCGACAAGAAGGCCTGGTGGCGGCCGCCGTCCTCGTCGTAGATGAACTCCCCGATGACTTTCCAGTCATCCAGGTGAAAGATTTCAGAACCAAAGACAGCATTGGCGTGGCGAAGGCCGTTGAGAATAAAGCTAGACAGGTCAGCTGACAGAGACTCGCGAAGGGACGGTGCTAATAAGCTTACGAATGCGTAACGCCCTTGGAATCTAGGGGATTTTCATGTTAGTCCAGTCCGGTGCCATTCTTGACATTTCACTTGCCATTGTATGCATGGCTGGAATCAGTTAGCAACAGTGAGTGCGAAAATAGACATGGAGAATACTGACTAGACCTTGTTCGGGTCGCAGCATGAATCGATGCCGATAATGATGGAGTCTGCTGGCTTCAAAACCTGAGCGAACCCTTGCAAGAAGGCGCCGGCCTCGTCGCGCGAAAAGTTGCCTTGAACTTGCATGTTAGCAAACGTAAATGTCCCGGCGCGCCATCCATCCGTGTTTGCGTACCAATACTAGAGCCGAGGTGGATGATTGTTATGTTTCGGTCGCTATTGGCAAACTGCTTTAGCCAGTCTTTGCCGTCGTCATATGTGCCCCAGAGCCCATGACTGCGGACATGCTTGTAGTCGGGAATCTGCAAGAGTGTGCGCTGCAGTTCTTCCTGCGACAAGTCGAGGGCATAATAGTCGATTGGCTTGCCAATCTTTTCAAAGGCATCGAGGACGAGAGAAATCTTGCGCAAGTTGCTGCAATGCGATGAAAAGATACTAGTTAGCGCTGATGATGAGAGTAGAAGGAAGTAATAATTGTTAAGCCTTCAAAACGGGCAGTAATGTAGAGCGCTCTCTTACCCGCTTCCAAGCTCAACGACCATGGCTCCAGCCGGGATCAAATCCGCTATTTCGGCCGCATGTTTTTTCAAAAGCTCAATTTCGTAATTGGTGAGATAATATTCATCCAGATATGTTATCTGAGCGACAAGTTAAGATGAAAGTCCAGGTCAAACGCAGTAACCAGGCGGGAGGGAAAAAAAGGAATAAATGCCAAAACGGGCCTTCAGCAAGAATGACATACATCCTCAAACAACTGCAAGCCCGTTTCATCGTACAGCAGCAACGTCGGCAGCGTACGGTGGCCGCTGACGGGATTCAAGTGGTTAGCAATCTCCTTTTTGAGGTTAAAGTCGACCTGCTCTCCGCGAATATCAATGATGTCAAGACGCTGCTGCTGCTGCTGCTGCTGCTCCTGCTGCTGCGTTGGCATTTTGCGGGGCGTCTCAGCATGGCCGTTTGTGAGAAACGAGTCGCCGCCGTTGACAACCAAGGGCTGCGCGGCAAAGGCCTCTCTGACGGCGGGCATGATGGACCGAGATGTCGGAGGAGGTGGAAAGGAAAGGTGTATCAAGTGAAGAGGCTGCTGGTGTGAGCGTGGGAGTGGTTGGATCTTATGATGCAAACGCAAAAGCTTTTTAATAAAACAAGATGCGACAGGATGCTGATGTTTAGATGGGTTGGTAATCTAGATTGACAAATCGAGAAAAGCCTAATAATAAAAGCCGGTGGGAATCAGCTCAAAACCTATAACGTACTATGCCGTCGCTAATAATACATGATGATTACAAGGAATTCAGTGCGTTCCTCAGGTTAGACACAGGTATCATTCACGGTGGGTGCAGGTATTCCAGACCACAGCTAGTGAACAGCTAAGAGCTTTTCCCACGAGAAGCTTCCCCTCCACATGCAACCCCACGTCGACTCCGCACAAAGCAAGGATACATGAAAAGACAACCAGTATTAGCTGCCAGATGACTGAATAGTAGACAACTTTGACAATCCACTGGGGCTTGACTAGCAACGAGTAATCTGTACAGAAAGCGGCAGCCAGCAGGCCGTGGCCGAAAGGCTAGCATGCTAAGGTACCTGGACTCCACACCTCCAAACGTCCCACTTTGGCAAGAAAAATGGGCCATCTTTTTTCGACAAGAACATGACTTTGACTTGACAAGCAACACAAGCTGGTCACCAAGTATTCGGGTAGTCACTTGGAGCTGTCCCCGAAAAGGCGCACTCAAACAAGGCGGAGCCATTGAACCATGCGCTGAGCTGGAGCCGAGTGAGTGGTTGGTTGAGTGGCACAGTACCACCGCGGGGTTTTTGCTCCTCTTTGGAATCATCCTATCGCAAATGCAACGAAAATAAATCGCATGGGGTCCAACTCTAGCCCGCCGTTGGCCAGAAAGCTCCAAGGCGAATGGGGCAGCGGCGGCGGCGGCGGCGGCGGCGGCAGGCGGGGGAAAGGAGGAGCCGCTTCTGCCATCGGTATCCGTCTTAGAAAAACTCTCGTGTTTCCGGGATCGTGTCGTCACTTGTGCGTGTACCTGTTTTGTTCCTCGCTTCTCCAGTTCATGCAGATGCAGGAGTGCGGTGCAAGACACATGCTTTTCAAAGCATGTGTAGGAGATCGAAAAGGCGTTTCGAGGGGGAGCTAGCTACCTGCGTACCGAGCAGCAGCGGCGGCGGCAGCAGCAGCAGCAGCCATGCTTGAGTAAATCCTACAGCCCAATCGACAGATCAAGGATACACTCCTTTTATCCTTGGGAACCAAGGAACCTTGACACGGGTGTGTCAACTCGTCAAAGAACCGCGGCTTTGGTGTCTGCCGATCACTGGAGCTGCAGCATGTCACGAATTCGCGAAAGTGCGCGCGGGCGTGTTGTGCAGCCTTTCGACGTTGATCATGTTCATAGCCTTTGCACGGCACACATGGTCGGTGCCAAGATATAGCTCGGCTGCTCATGCATATTCATCTATATTTGTCTGGATGCGAGTTGATTTTGACCCGCAGTGACGACGGCCCATGCAGCCTAGTTCTGCACCTGATTCTGGATGAGTTGGCAAGCAGGCAATCAGGCACACCAGGGCATCGCCCACTGAGATTATGCAAAAATCGAGTGTTGATTAAAGTGTAGTTGACAGAGACGCCTCAGCTTGAACACGTCTTTTCCGGAGCCAGCTGATTGTCAAAACTAAAGAGCAAGTACAGTTGACAGCAACAAGATGCAGATCGACCAGAATTACAGTAGTTTCCATCTGATATCAAACCAGATCATCAATATCTCTAATATTCCCTGTCAAAGTCATACTTTGTCAAGGGGTGCGGCTAGCGCGCCATCTCCAAATACGCATCATGACATTCCAAACCTGCTTATAGGACAGGCTTGAAAGAGTGGAAACACTCCAAGTATGACAAAGGTGTATTATGCGAGATCTGTAAAACACACTAGTCTGATATCATTAAGCAACATATGTACAGGTACATGCTGGTTGCACATCTCTCATCAGCCAGAGAGCGCTTGCAGCACACGTTTCGTCATGCCCAAGACCTTTTCCTCCTCGAGCTTGCGTGCAACAAGCTGCAGACTGATTGGCATACCATCGACGAGGTTGGCATCGTATTCCGTGTTGATGGCCTCGCAGACATCACTTCGAGGCACGTAGTCTTGACCAACAATGTCGATATTCTTGTCCACCTTGAGCCCCGTCGGGAAGGAAACGGCAGACACGTCCAGAATATTACCAACGGCCGTGTATGCAACTAGACAAACAAAAAAAAACCGTCAATTTACATTTTCAGCTTCAAATTGCTAACTTGGAAAAAAAAAAAAAAAAAAAAAAAAAAAACTCACCGTGTCTAGTGCCACTGTGCTTGTGCGTCACATACGGCGTCGTGGGCAGTAACAGCGCATCCAGACCGGCATCGTTCCACCGATCCAGATTTGCATTCTGAAACGCCGTTCTCTCCGTCTGCAGCTTCCACACATCGTAGACGCTCATCGGCTGCGCGTGGCGGTAGGCCTCCATCTCGGGCCGCCACGGCTCGCCCGTGCGCTCCAGCTCCTTGCGAATCGCCGCCGCGCCGTCGGCCACGAAGAACTTGCCAATCATGGTGAGGCTCTGCAGCATGTCCGTCGGCCGCCAGTCAACCACGTCGTGCCCGGCCCGCAGCAGCTTCGCGACGGTATGCCGCAGGGCGCGCAGGATGGGCGGCGTCGGCTGCACGAGCATGTCATGCCACAAGACGCCAATCTTGAGCTTCTCGGGCAGCTGGACGGGCTTCCACGGGAGCGGGTGGCATTTGGCGTCGCGCAGCCAGGGCTGGCTTTGAATCACCACTTTGCTGTACATGGCAATGTCTTCGAGAGTGCGTGCCATGGGCCCGTTGACCGACATGACGCCCTCTTGGCCGGGCATGCCGGAGCGGCAGTCACGGACGGGGAAGCGGCCGCCAGAGGGTCGGAGAGTGAAAATACCAGTGCAAGCAGCAGGAATACGAAGTGATCCGCCTATAACCTTTTCGTTAGAGGCATTAAAATATTAAATAGTGAACCTTGCCAATCGGAACTTACCAATGTCAGTTCCCACGCCAATAGGACTGCCTTTTAATACCAGCAGAGCCGACTCGCCACCCGAGCTTCCACCACTAGTCGTTTGTCTATTCAAAGGATTCAGCGTGCGGCCAAAAACATTATTAATGGTTTCTGCAATCATCATGGCCGTCGGCACATTGGTCTTGACGTAAAAGACTGCTCCCGCTTCTTCTAGCACCTTGGCGAGCATCGAATCCACTGCGGCAGCGTCTCCCACGTGCGACGAGAAGCCGACTGTAGTATCCAAGCCCGTGAGCTTGAAATTGTCCTTGAGAGAAATCGGCAAGCCGTGCAGCGGCCCCACGGGCTGGCCCGTCTTGGCAAAATGCTCATCACGAGCGCGCGCTGTTGCAATGGCGCGCTCAAAGCAAGTCTCGGAGAGACAGTTTACCTGTCCCCAAGCTGTAAGTCAAGAGACACAAACACACACACACAAAAGGCCGCCACAAAGGTTACTTACCAGTTGATGCGCCGCCGCTGCGCGCTTGCAGAATGCACGAGTCACGGTTTCCGACTGTAGCTCCCCAGAAGCCAGCTGAGCGACGAGCTGCGTAGCCGTCTGCTCCGTTATCTCAAGCTCGTCCTCGGTGAACCACCCAGACGTGGCCGGCCAGGCCGTCACATCATCCTGCGAGGCCGGGGGCAACAGATCGGCAGGCACCCGCCATTCTTGCGGGATGGAAGCGCTGAGGAGCGCTCTCTTTCGGGCGCCAATGTCCTCCCAGATGGGCGGCCGGATCTCGGTGGTCGGGTGCCCCTCTGCTTTGGCGGATAAGATGTATGTTAGTTTCGATTCGATAATCGTCATACTGTACTGGTAGGCCGCCGGGGGGGTGGTCCAAGGGGAGATGTATGTTTTTTTTTTGCAGAATGGGAGTGGGAAAAGGCGATGAGGATATCAGACGCAGAGTCGAGGGACTTATAGAAGGCTACGAGTGAGCCACTGATCGGGCCTGAGTCTGTGCGGACATGATTCCCCCGCAAAACCCGATAGCGGCATGCGCCGACCCCGACCTGATGCGCCATCGTGGGGGGCCGCATGACGATTTGGCAGACGAGACTAAGCAATATCATCCGGGGAAAACCTCGAAATGTTGTATTTTTTTTCCCCTGAGCTAGTACGTACAAATCAGAAGATTGCGACCTTTTCTAATTTTGTCAGTCTTCTGCTTGGTATTTTCATACTTCTTGTAGTCTGCTCCGGCCGTCATCAGCTTTGCTAAGTTTGGCGCCCTCTATTGACTATTAGCTGCAGTATTACTGGTAGTCATTGTGGCGTTTAATTGGTATGCTACCCCAGCCCAGTGCTAGACTCCAACCGACCGACGGCGCGATACTATGAATCGGTAGTTGGGAATTAGCCAGACTGAAACTGCGTGTTCTCTTACATCATCCCCTTCTGCATGATTGATTTCCATCTTTCATGATAATTAACAGAGCAAGGCAGAGGCACGAGAGCATCATCCACCTGCGACGGCCCAGCGCCCGCAAACGCCAAATCTCAGTCCTGGTCCACCCAAAAGTTCCCAATCACAACTCAAAAGGGTCTGCACAGTTTTCCGCCGCCAATACCTTCTAATATCGAAAGCAGCCAGCTCAACACGGGGTCGCCGTGTGCGCTTTTCCGGTTTGCCTAGTATACAGTAACGCGCGGCGGCCGCCTTTGCAGGCGCTGCGCAACTGCACAATCATGGCCGTGGGGGGCAAGGTCAAGGACTATTTCCACAATGTCTATCAGCCAGGCGAACGCGCCCTCATCCAGAAAATCGACTTTTTCATTCTGACATTCTGCTGTCTGAGCTACTTTGTCAACTATGTATGTCGCTGCGATGATGACGGTGTAGTTGTGTGTTTCATTCAATACTAACGCCCAGCAGCTCGACCGCAGCAATCTGAACAATGCCTACGTGTCGGGCATGAAAGACGACCTCGGCTTTGTCGGAGACCAACTCACACAGATAAATACTTGTTTTACCGTTGGGTAAGTCTTCCGCTCGATACATGATTCTTCTTCAACAAATGCCAACCGCCACAGCTACGTCGTCGGGCAGATACCCTCCAACTTGTCGCTGCACTATGTCAAGCCGCGCATCTGGTTTCCCCTCATGATGGTCCTCTGGGGCGGGCTCACCATGGTCACCGCATCGACGCACAACCCGCAGTCCATTATGGCGATTCGCTTCTTCCAGGGCATCTGCGAAGCCTCCACCTTTGTCGGCACGCACTACATCCTCGGCGCCTGGTACACGGAGCGCGAGCTCGGCAAGCGCAGCGGCATCTTCACCTCGTCCGGCCTCGCCGGCACCATGATTGGCGGCTTCATCCAGACGGGGCTCAACCGCGGACTCGACGGCCGCGGCGGGCTGGCGGGCTGGCGCTGGCTGTTCATCATTGACGGGCTGATTACCATGCCCGTCGCGCTCTACGGCTTCGTCTTCTTCCCGGACACGCCGCAGACGACGCGCGCATTCTACCTCACAGAAGAGGAAAAGGCGCTGGCAAGGTCGCGCGTGCCCCAGGCGGCAGAAGACGGCCAGTCACCGATGACGCTCGCCTTTGTCAAAAAGGTCCTCACGTCGTGGTACTGGTGGGGCTTCGTGATGCTCTGGGTGATTGCGGGCGAGACAGAGTCGTTTAGCAGCAACGCACTGCTGGCGCTATACATGCAGAAGCATCCCGTCAACAAGTACACCAAGGCGCAGCTCAACGACTACCCGACGGGCGTGCCTGCCGTGGGCATCGTGTCAACGCTGTTCTGGGCCACGCTGACGGATTTTCTCGGTGGCAAACGCTACCTTGTCGGCTACTGGATTGGCATAACGGGCATTGCCACATCCATTATGATTCTAGTAGCGTCCAATAACCCTACCAGTTCCTCGTCCACTTCTGTCGTCTTTGGGGCGTACTACTGGGCTGGGTCTGTATACGCATGCCAGGCAACATTTTTCGCCTGGTGCAACGACGCCATGCGATTTGAAGCGTCTGTTTTTCGAGGCGTGGTATTGGCTGGTATGAATCTAGGAAACAACGCTGTCAATGCGTGGTGGATTCTCATATTCTACGGCGCCTCGCGAGCGCCGTGGTTCATTGTGAGTATCAATTTTTACCCCTTTGATTCAACTCGCGAACTCATGACCAATTATATACTAATACTCTCTTCTACTCAGCGTGGCATGTGGGCAATGATTGGATGCTCGATAGCGTTGATTATCTGGAGCGCTGGACTATCTTATCTGGCGCGCAAATATGTACCGTCGCCGCAGGGAGGACGGCACCGAGGTGCACGAGAATATGCCACCCAAAGCGGAAGGTTGAGCTCTAAACCAGAAGGTAATATGTAAAACAATCTTAATACATTTCTCATTTTGCACGAGCCTCTCGCTCGACATTGTCGTGCTACGGGATCACAGAAGAGTCCGCTGAAGCCTAAAAAAATAGGCAAACAGCCGGAGTCCTAGTTCCCGAAAAAAGTTACATTACGAGTTTCCACTCTGGCTATCGGACGTCTGTTGACTCTTGCAAAACAGTCACACTCGTGTCCGTTGGCATGTACCAATCAAGATGATACCCTAATTCTATCACCCTCATCTCATTTGACCATGTGCAGCCTCTTACCTTGGACTGTGTCGGTCGCGCGCCAGCAAGGTAGGGTCGCGCTGCAGCGACCGCACACCTCACAGGCGGCCACCCGATCCTTCGGCACAAACACCGCCATACAATTGCGTCAAAAATGCCGTTTCCAGGCCAATTCCGCAGCAAGACGGCATTCATCGTCAGCTGATCTTGTTGTCAGGTGCTCCGTGGTGGTCGCGCGCATCAAGACTGCACCGCGTGCCGCAGCCGGGCTGTCGCGATCGTTTAGCACCTCGCCGCGCCATGGGCAGGCCGTTGCGGAAAAGGGCAACGAAAAGGCCGTCAAAAAAGACGACGTGGAGGACGATGCTGTCCCCGATGTGGATGAAGCCAAAACGCTTGCCGTGCGGCGAAAACATGCTGCGCAGCTTTCCAAGAATGAACCCGAAGTGAACAATTCCACTGGCGGTCTCTTGCGCCTCCTGAGCATCGCCCGGCCCGAGGCCAAGCCGCTGGGCCTCGCCACCGTCTTTCTCGCCGTCTCGGCGACGATTACCATGACGATTCCGTACGCCGTGGGCCGCATCATCGATGCCGCTGGCAAAGCGGGCGTCGTCGACGTCGCCGGCCACTCCTTTACCCTTACCCAATTCGTCGTCGGCATGGGCACGGTGCTCACAATCGGCTCAGCCGCCTCGTTTACACGCAACATCATGATGCGCATCATTGGCGAGCGCGTCATTGCGAGGCTGCGCTCGCGCCTGTACCGTCGCACCTACACGCAGGATGCCGAATTCTTTGATGTCAACCCCGTGGGCGACTTGATATCCAGACTGGGGTCTGACGTCAACATTGTGGGCGACTCGGTGACTACGAGTGTCACGTATGCCCTACGCTCTACTTTCAACACGATTGCGGGCATCTCCATCATGCTGTGGACCAGCGCAAAGCTCACGATGCTCATGCTAGTCATTCTGCCGCCCATGGCTGTCGGATCTCTCATCTACGGCCGCTTTGTGGAAAAGATGAGCAAGCGCGTGCAAAAGAATCTCGGCACGCTGACAAAGATTGCTGAGGAAAGACTGGGCAACGTCAAGACGAGCCAGGCCTTTGTCGGAGAACGTCAGGAGGTGCATCGATACAACCAGCAGATTCGCAAGGTGTTTGCGCTGCGCAAACGCGAAGGCATCGTGACGTCAACATTTTACACGTCGACGCTCTGGGCTGGCAATATCTCGTTTCTCATCATGCTCACAGTTGGCAACAGCTTCATCCAGTCTGGGGCCATGACGACGGGCGACCTCACCGCCTTTGTCATGTACGCCATGTTTGCCGGCACGGGCATGATGGACTTTTTCTACACGTACACGGAAATCATGCGCGGCTCCGGCGCCGCCCACCGGCTATTCGAGCTGTCGGACAAGAAGCCGCGGATCCCGCAGAGCGCCGGCGCCCGCATCGCGTCCGCCCAAGGCACCGTCAAGTTCACAAACGTGCATTTTGCGTACCCCACGCGGCCAGACGCCAAAATCTTCAACGGTCTCAACTTTGAGATTCCCTCGGGCAGCAACGCCTGCATCGTCGGCCCCTCTGGCCGCGGCAAGTCCACCATTGGCACGCTCCTGCAGCGCTTCTACGATCCCGTCGCCGGCACCATCACCATCAACGGCCAAGACATTTCCCAAATCAGCGTCAAGTCGCTCCGTCGGCGCATCGGAGTCGTTGCGCAGGAGCCCGTGCTCTTCTCCGGCACCATTGCCGAGAACATATCCTACGGCGTGCCCGGCGCGACCGAGGAGGAGATTTTGCACGCCGCCAAGGTCGCCAACTGCACTTTTATCGACAACCTGCCCAAGGGCCTGCAGACGCAAGTCGGCGCGCGCGGGTCGCAGCTCTCGGGCGGGCAGAAGCAGCGCGTGGCGATTGCGCGCGCGGTGCTCAAGCGGCCCGACATTCTGATCCTCGACGAGGCCACCTCGGCGCTCGACGCCGAGTCGGAGACGCTGGTGAACCAAGCGCTGGGCAGGCTGTTTCAAGGCAGCATGACCACCATTTCCATTGCGCACCGTCTGTCGACGATTGAAAAGGCGGATCTGCTGATTGTGCTGAATGCGGACGGCGAGGTGGCCGAGATTGGCGGCTACAGGGAGCTCTCGGCGAACAAGGACAGCGAGTTTAGCAAGCTGATGGAGAATCAGATGCGCTCGCCGATGGCGGGCAAGCCTGCGGACGATGTTGAGACTATCATGGTTGATGAGGAGGCGGTAGAGGAGGCCAAGAGGCGTGAAGCATAGACGATGTAAATTTAGACTGTATTATTCTGTAATATACTATAAAGATGCGATATACGTTTGAGACTGTGTTCATGGAATTCGGCCTCTGGTCGCCACAGGCGGATAACGCCATAATCAGAAGCCGATGTTCAGTACCGAATTAGGTTCTGCGAGCTTCGATTCAGCGTTGAGTACCCGCATCATGGTGCCTGGGCACGAGAGCGTCAAGAAAGCGTCGACCCCCAATGATTGACTTGCGTATTCAACTTGTCTGTGGTACTGGTTATACCTAATTTAAATACATCGCAGTCCTTTGGCTGGTAAGCAAAAAAACTGTCACTTGCAAATAAGGCGCAGGAGGCCCGACGTGAGGCAATTTTGATTCCGTGGCAACGCCATCCCCTGTCGGTACATGCGTTCCAACTTTTTGCAATTGAATGGGACCTCGTGCATGTTTTAGACATTCTCGGCCCGGGCCTAGACCTGTCATCATTAAGCAGCTGAAAGATCCCAGCCGTCTGTCTGTCTCACTGCTGTTAATGCATGGAAAACAGGGCTGCAGAAGCCTCGGCGCCTAACTCGGACTGCAATTGACTGCAATCAGGGCTTGATATTCGAGTACAGATTAAATATGCCGTGTATACTACGTATGCGGGCCGTCTTCTGCATGCTTCAAGTAAGCACCAGTTAGTTGATGGACGTGGTGGCACGCATTTGTTGCATCATGGACCATGGCGAGCCTTTTCGCTGCGCGACATGCCGCGGATGCAAACTAGTGGTTCTCTTTCTTTTTTCTTCTTTTTTTTTTAAAAAAAAGAGCGGCCTTCAAAATGCCAAGTAATATTATAGGAATACATATAGTAACACATATTTGAAGCCATATTGAAAATGTCTGGCGTTGCCCCTCAATATTGCAGCAGCGGGGTGATTTGACCATCGTACTCATTCATCTCGATGGTCTCTCCTGCTGCCGGGGATATAATTGACACAAATCCTCAAGGCAATAGCCAAGGGAATGAGAAGAACCCATGCAAGATGGCCCCATAGTATTTGATTCCTGACACCCAACGCAAAAATGACTGTAGAAACACCAGGGACAATCGCTCTGGCGACACCGGCGCTCGTCATGGAAAGGCCATTCATGGTCGCCATGACATGGCGGCTTGGGGAAGCGTCGTTGATGGCCAGCTGCGCACTGGTCATGCCCATGGACACGCCAGGTCCCATGACGGCGAGAAAACAGCCGACGGTCCATGCCCACGCCGTGGTAGACCCAGCGCCGATTCGGAGAATGGTATTGAGGAGGATGATGCCACCGAAAAAGAATGAGTAGGCAGTTGCGCACACTTTGAGTAGGTTTTTGGTGCCGCAGCGACGCTGTAGGATGGGAAATGCGAGGATGAGCCAGAAAGCCTGACTAGCTCCTTGAACGGCCATAAAGGCAGATATTTGGGAAGAGTTAAAGCCAGTACCGCCGATTCTGATGGGGGTGAATAAAAATACTGGCATAATGGCGGTGACTGCAAAGGCTAGAAGCATAAAGTGTGTGTATACCCAGATGGTAATGGCAACTTTGGGAGCCAGGAGAAGCTCTCGCATGGAGAATGCTTGACGGGCACCGGCTTGGTTATCACCAGTAGAAGAGGCCATTTCTTTATCTGATTTGAGAGTCTCTTCGAGAAAGAGACTGGTGGTGACGATACCAGCGACGCCTGCACCGGTAAGAACCAAGCCCACGAGAGCGTAGGGAAACGTCTCAAAGAAGGCAATTCCTTTAAATACCTTTGGGTATTGAGCCACAGGGTCGGCCAGCACACCGCCGATGAGGGGACCGAGAGTGGTGCCAATGTTGTTGGCAAAGGAGAACCAGCTATACGCCATGGCCTCATTCTCGGGCGTGCAGTGCTCAAACAGCATCGTCCGCATCACCAGTCTCGAGCCGGAAAAGACGCCCGCCAGGCAGCGAAACAGAATCATTTGCGGAATCGTAGTGGCCATGGTATACGCCATTGTCGAGACAATCATGCCCGTCAGAGTGATTATCATGACGGGCTTGCGGCCGATGCGATCGGCAAGACGGCCCCAGAGAATCAGCACAAAGATTTGCACAACGGAGAAGAGCGACTCGATGAGGCCGCTGTAGAAGCCAACGTCTGAATCGGCTAGATGGCCGTTGCGCTGCACCATTTGCGCTATGAAGGGAAAAATGGCAAAGAAGGCAATGGGTTCCATGGTGCGAGCAAAGCAGAGCAGCAGAATCTGGAACTTGGGCAGTGCTTCTCGGCTTGTATGCGAGGCTTTGCTCGCAGCAGCAGCAGCAGCAGCAGATCCATCTTGCAGCGTCGGTGATGAGGCATCGACATTTGGCGCAGGTTCGTCGAGGCTTCTGCGAGCGAGAAGCGGCGTTGTCTCTGTCGATTTCGGAGACATTGTCCTGCTTCCATTGCCGTCGCAGGAATTTTGCGTGGGAGTCAAAGATTTCGGCGCCATCCTGTTCTCAAGAGATGAACGAGTGAGTAGAAGTGATGTGAACAAGTTGCTAATTCTTTCTTGCGCGGCCCTTCGTCGCGCGTTTGCATGCCTTTTCCTGGCGGCCAACTTATTCCTTTGATGTATGCCGCAATCGGGGTTATTCTTTTTTCAGAATTTTTCTTCTTTTTGTTTTATTATTTCCACGTTCCTAGCCGCGATTCCGCGACAACTTTTTGTGAGACTTGTTCATGTGAGACAGGACGGGAAAATTTGCACTGCGCAGTCCTGCGAGTCAATGGTGTGTATCATTGGTATTGTCCCACCTTATCCGGTAGACACTGCGAACTGTGCGTCACTGCATGTCTGACACAGAAAGGCTTGAAACAGCAGAAAAACGCAATCACTGGAATGATATAATTGAATAATGTTATATGGCAAAGTTATGGGGGTGGCAATGGCACCCTGACAACCTGATGCCGGAGGGGGCTGGCTGGTGGGTTGCATCAATCTAGCAGATGAAATGGAGACTCAGTCGATCAGAATGAGGTCACTCACGCAAGAAAAAAAAGGCCAATGTATTTCCCCTACCAGCAACTGAATGTTTATTCTTCTCCATACGTCGGACGAATCTGTCTAGTCAGTTCCGAAAACAGTTCTCTTCTGGCGAACCTTGCTGGTAGAGAAGTCCAATTGGAGCTCACTTGGAGCTCAAGAAATCATGTCTTGCTAAAAAAGTCCCCTTGTTGTATGTACACCATACCGTAGCGACGCCGCTCGAAGCTGAGGCCAAGTATTCGTAATTACTTGACGAGGCGCTTTTCGTATATTAATATTGCTTCTAGACATGTCAATGGCTTCAGACCCGCCAATGCACTCGAAAGAAATGATTCGCTGCGGCTGCGCGCAGGTCAAAGTTATGCATCCCCCATGCATCCATCAACTAACTAGCTCACCAGCCCGCATGCGTCAAGACTCCAGGAAAGCAAACGGCCATCTGCCGAGTATTGTTTTTTCTTTCTATTCTATTTTCAGCTCCGAGAACTTTTGCAGATTTTTTTATGCTGCATTCTCAGCTTTCAACTATTTCAGCTCCCTCCATTGTCGTGATTTCTGTGCATCCGAGCACGACAAACAGTCCCAAGATCAGCGCAATCCGAGACATGCACCTCCCGCGCCACGCACAGAATTGAATCAAATTTCTTTGACGGCTCGGCCCGAGTATATATATATACTCAATTGAGGCTTGTTTTCCTTGATCGACTGGAATAATCTGTCAAGTTTCAGTATTTCAACAGCTTCCTGACGTACTGGTCCTGCGCGAGCAACTCTTTACATCAACTTTAGTCCAAACCCCGTCCTCGACTCAACTCGAAATCATGAGTACCACAATCATTATTGGGACCCAATGGGGCGATGAAGGCAAGGGAAAGCTTACCGACATCTTCTGCTCCAAGGCCGATGTCGTTGCTCGTGCGGCTGTAAGTTTGTGCAATTACCTCGACACAGCTCTACCCTTTTCAAGACCGCATTCGTCGATATATTTTAACGAATTGTCACTAATCTTTACTGTCAAGGGCGGACATAATGCAGGTCACGTCGTACAAGCCAATGGCATCTACCACAATTTCCGACTTCTTCCCTCTGGCCTCATGGCACCCCAATGCCAGGCGCTCATCGGCACTGGCGTCGTCTTCCACATCCCCACCTTTCTCCAGGAGCTCGCCGACATCAAAGAAGAAGGGATTGCCGACGCGAGCGAGCGTGTCTTTGTGTCGGACAGGTGCCACGTCAACTTTGATTTGCACGCGGCCGTCGACGCCGCCCACGAGCAAGAGCTCGGCGGCAACGCCGTCGGCTCCATGAAGCGCGGCATCGGCCCTTGCTACAGCACCAAGGCTATCCGAAACGGCATACGCCTTGCAGAAATCTTTGACGAGCAGCGGTTTGACGACAAGCTGCGACGGCTGGCTGCTGGATACCAGAGGCGCTTTGGGACGTTTCTAAAGTACGACGTCGAGGACGAAATTGAACGGTTCAAGGAATACCGGGTGGCCATGCAAAAGTATGTCGTGGACGGTGTGCTTTTCATGGCAAAGGCCAAGGAGAGAGGCGCCAACATTGTCGTCGAGGGTAGCCAGGCTATACTGCTCGATATCGACTATGGCACTTACCCGTATGTTACGAGCTCGAGTGCTGGTCTGGGTGGTGCCATTTCTGGCCTCGGATTGGGCATCAGAGACATTAGCGAAGTTATTGGAGTTGTGAAAGCGTAAGAACAAGAAAGCATCCAAGCCGAGATCAAAACTAATGTTTCTTTTTTTTTCTTAATGCAGATATACGACACGGCTCGGCCTGGGAGGTTTCCCAACAGAGGAACACGGCGAGGTTGGAAAACACTTGCAAGAGCTGGGCGGCGAGTATGCAGCCGTCATATGCCGCAAACTGAGAGTGAGTTTGCTTCTTTTTTTTTTTCTTTTCTGATTTCCCAACACCTTTCATCAACGACTAATCTCGAGGGCAGTGTGGATGGCTCGACCTTGTCGCCCTGCGCTACTCTTGCATGGTCAATCAATACGACAGCCTCCAGCTCAGCAAACTCGACATTCTCAGCACGTTTGAGACAATCAAGGTCGGAATCGCATATCGAGACAGGGACACGGGCAAGGAAATCCCCTCGTTCCCAGCAGACCACACCGTTCTCGAGCGCGTCGAGGTTGTCTACGACGAGCTGTCGGGCTGGAACACCAGCATTGCAAAAATGCGCGAATGGTCTGACCTGCCCCACGAAGCGCAGGATTACGTTCAATATATCGAACGTTTCGTCGGCGTCAAGGTACGTGCTCTCTTGTTTTTGTGCATGTGTTTAGGACTTCTCCACCAACCTTTGGCCATGGTCGCTGACAATGAGAAATGAATAGATCAAGTGGATCGGAACGGGACCGGAGAGGGAGGATATCATCACCCGGGTTTAATCTGTAGTTATTGGGGACAGTTGCCATTTGTTCGGGGACAGGTGCACGTGACGCAAGGCACCTGAGCTTTTGCGTGCACACTCACTAAATATAATCTATGTACCTTTACAAACTCTCTTTCAATACTCGGCCGTCGCCACCGCTGGTAATTCACAGCCTAAATCACGGCTTCCGTGATCGTGGAAGAACTCTTCATCTAGCCTAAGCGAAAAGATTCTTTTTGAGCGATTTATTCACGCTGTGTTGAGATGCGTCGAGAGCGGCCCGGGGGAAGTTGGTGACTGAAATCTGCAGTAATTGAATCTTGCAACATGAGCCTATACCTATTATAGACTAGCGCGGCGTCATTCACTGGCACTGCATCAGCCTACCTACCTAAGTTGCTAAGTTGCTAAGCCAGTTAAGGTAGCGCTAGGTATCTAAGAAGGTAGTGGATTTCCAGCCATCAGAGGACCTGAGCCACCACAGCACCTATCGCCTGACCCTCCTTCAATCAACAACAAGAAACCTCACATCAACATCAAGACAACAAAACAATTACCTAATAGCCTCACTCGTCATAAGGCTCCAGAACCTCCAGCAGAGGCAGCGCAGCCAACGCAACAGAGGCAACCAAGGCGGCAGCAGCGGCGGCAACGGTTGAGAGCTTTAATCAAAGCAGCTAGTTACCTTATACGAGAGAAAGGCACGCATTGAAGAGCGCTATTCTGGCCTATAGGTATGATCCCCTACAAAATGATATATAAACCTTGTATGGTTTTCTTCCTAATCAAGTACAGGTCACGTTGAAAAGATTTTAAAACTCTTACGTCGCAAAACTCAGCCCTCATCGTAGAGGACCTACTCTCGCGTGCCATCGCGCCACGCAGGCTGGAAACAGAAGCTACCGAAACCTAGAACAAAAATCGAAGCCGTGGCTTTGTTTTTGCCTTTCTAAGCCACTGCCACGTGCTAGCCCGTCGTTTGGGCGGAAAAGTGTAAATGAGATTATCGATATATAAAATATGACTGCGCTCTCGATCGTCACGACTTTATTGTCTCTTCTCTCCTCCTAACACTGCTTGAACTCTCCAGTAATCATGCCGACCATGGAGTCTGACTTGCCACCCCCTCCATATGACTCGGTAAGTAATCCATCCCGACTAAATTCGGATTCTCCATCTGACTATATTAGTCTTTGTTAGAGAACAAGGGAGCCGACATACTTGTTCAGAATGCGTACAGAAACCAAATTTGGAGCCCGCTCCTGCGACTGCCGCACAAGACCCTCATAGCCCTCATGAAATCAATTGATCTCGACAGTTTACTGCGACTGCGACACACATCTCGAATATTTATGTATCTTTTCAGCAGCGAGGCGGCTTTTGAGAAATATCATCTAACGCCGGAGGAGGACAGGGACAGATTTGAGGACACGGCTCGCATCTGGATTCCGCCCTCCTCCTGCTTCAAAAAACAAGCCGCAAGCCCCTTTGAAGGCATGTGCCCAAGGTGTGCGAGGAAGCGCAAGGGCGATATTTTTGGAAAGGCCCTCCTGGTGTCCATGTCAAAGCAATACTGCTCGCGGTGTTGCAGCAAGCACAAAATCATGCATTTCTCAGATGCTCAGCGTGCGCTACCGAAGAACAGTGGCAGGATATGCATTGGTCATGAGGGCCACTTCTTCCTTTGCAATCATGTTAGCATGACCTGGCATCAGGTCAAATCGAGTGAGCATAGTCGGGCGCTTCCAGTGCTGCGATGCGCAATCCATGAACATTCTCACGCATCACTGCGTTGCGGCATCGAGGCTTGCGTCAAGACTGAAAATCCTGGCTTCACTGTCCGCCGACATGACAAATATGGCTTGTACATGGAAGTTCTGCATTCGCGACACATTCTTGTCACGCGGCTGCCATCGGGGAAAATATGCGCTGAGAGTCTTCGAAAGGCACTTGAACAAGAACCGCGCAGCATGAGCGCGGCAAGCTGGATGCCTCTATCTTGGCCCGTGGCGGGCAGTCCCCTAAGAATATTCGACCCAAACGTGTGTGACTGCGTTGAGTGGCGCGGCTCGAGTCTGGAAGCTCAGCGTATGCAATGGCCCATTTGCCCGGACCCAGCCAGACCTTGGAGGACCGCCGCCGATACAAGCAACAACAACAACGTCAGTCCCAAATCACGCTGCGGCCAATACAGCCATACCATCTATTCTGGCTACACTGGTGCAACCGCCGAAATTTCGGTGCAGCGATGCCTGGGCCGAAACGACTTGCTTGTACTGGTTCAAAGAGCCAAATATCACATCAGCGAGGCCTGTGGCTCCGGCTGGCAAGACATAGTCGCTTGTCAATCATACGGCGGGACGATTGATAGGGGTATGCGGGGAGTTACTTGGTGTCCTACCGAAACCTGCGCCGTGTCAAAACTACTCCGAAGCAACAAGCACCTATGGAACATAGAGACAAGAAGAGACCGCATGGGCTCAGCGTGGCCCCGTCAATTCATAAGACTTTGAAAGTACTGATGTAGCTTTCAAAAGTTGTATCTGGCGCTAGAAGTAAGCCACAACTAGGGCCCACAGAGGGTACCTTACAATTCTCTTTATGAATACGAGGGAGTACATCATAACGAAGAGGAATGGTCGAGTTTTTCAATGCAAGAGGAACTAGAATTCCGCTTCTCTAAAGATGAACGTACCTGATTACAGTTACTCACTAGTCAAAATACCCATAGTAGCATAACCATCAATTATCTTTTCATCTTTTCGCTCTCTTCGTAGCTGGCTCTACGGACCACGCGTACATATAGCTTCAGTTCATATCACTACTTGAGCCATCACACACTGACCTAGCTACCGGGAAGGAGGTAGGACCGATGACGAGAATTTGCCGCAGGACCGTCAGCCCGCTGCGGTCGGTTGAAAGGACTGATCGATGCGGGAGATAGAGCTGTAAAAGATCGAGTCGGCGTCGTGGCCAGTGTTGGTACTCGCCGCACGCGATTGAAGGGACTAATCAAAGCTAGGGCAGTGCTCACAGACGGTCGATTAAGCGTCGACATGCTTGCTTCTGCAGTGGCAAACAATCTAAAAGAATTCTAGAAAGTGCGAGATTCCTAGATTTCTAGCTACGATCAGTCAGCTAAGCATAAGATACATGACATCGAGGAAACTGACGTTTCTGCCCTTCATGAAGTTAGGAGCTTGAGTGTCGCGCTAGACTTCTGACTAGCTGACGGACCTCTCTATTTTCTCGTATGCATCGGGGCTTCTGCCCTCGTGCGTCTTAGACAAAGGGTTGAGTACCATTCCGGGCGAAGCGTGTGACGGTGCGGTGACCGTATATAAGTAAAATCAGAATCCCCCCCCTCTTCCTCCCCTTCCTCCCCTTCCTCTTCCTCCTCTTTCTCCTCCTCCTCCTCTCTCTCCTTCTCCTCCTCCTTCCGACTTCACAGCCCGGTACTTACTGGCAAGCGTGCCAGTGGCGTACCCGGGAGTGGGCCGGGCAGCAGGCGCGGGCGACGC